TGTAGTTTATATTTTTTCCATACAAACACTGACAGCTTTCTTTACTTCCGTGTAACTTTCTTTCAATTCACCATCAGCCCATAAACTTCAGAAATGTTTTCCAGGCATCTGACTAATTTGACCCGTGATGCCAAAGGCATTGTTGGCATTATTTCGAACAGGAATAATGTTGGAAAGTCACACAGTTAGTTACTGTGCATAAAACACCAGCTGTCAACTCTCACACATACATGAGCAGGATTCTTGTGTTTAACCTTAATAAAAACTCGATCACATTAAGGATCAGTCACCCAAATAACAAAAGTGCATATTTTGTAGCGACACAGCAAGTTTTAATTTGATGTGAGGTTTTGAGTTCTCTGCCACAGCCCCAATATAAAGGAAATCCACCTTCTAACAACAACTCGGTGAGATCTGTGGATTATCCAGAATAACTGATGTACCTCAACTGTCTTGAGTGGCTTTATGATCAGAGTGTAAAATATGTCACTCATTGGCTGCTGTTCATTCATTTTCAGGAAGGACCACGAGAAGGCAGAATTTGAGGTACATGAGGTCTATGCTGTGGATGTCTTGATTAGCACAGGAGAAGGAAAGGTGGGTATCTTCTCATGTCTAACTTGAATTCAATACCCATAGCTGTTGAAAGTTTTTGCTTTCACCGTTTTTAATTCTCTGTCATTTCCAATTAGGCTAGAGACGGAGGTCTGAGGACCACCATTTATAAGAGGGACCCCAGTAAGCAGTACGGCTTGAAGATGAAAACTTCCCGTACGTTTTTCAGCGAAGTGGAACGCCGCTTTGATGCCATGCCCTTTACTCTGAGGTTTGAACACAGCACTTTACATGTAGCTTCTAATATACTTAGTCCACCACCTGCTGACATTTTAAATAGACTGACAGAAAGTTGAAAATACTTTGACTTAACCGCCATCCATTTTCCATCAGGGCATTCGAGGACGAGGCCAAGGCCCGTCTGGGTGTGGTGGAGTGTGCCAAACATGAATTGCTACAGCCCTTCAGTGTGCTACATGAGAAAGAGGGTGAGTGTTTACCCCTCTCTATCATGTTTTGTTGTATTTTAACAGCTTTCACTTTGTATTTACTGTCCCCCCACCCCCGTTTCTTCTGTGCCTTTTTGTTCTCAGGAGAGTGTGTAGCTCAGTTTAAGTTCACAGTGCTGCTGATGGCCAACGGGCCTCACAGAATCACCAACGGACCTTTCGATCCAGAGCTCTACAAGTCAGAGCATGAGGTTCAGGATGCAGAGCTAAAGGTAAGGTTGTGAATTCACTTGCACCAAGCTCACAAAGAGTTCACAAAGAAACTGGCTGCATTAAACATCTTATTCACTTCGTACCGAAATGTATCTCCTCATCCTCTAGACTTTACTACTGAGCTCTGCAAGCCGTAAAACACAGAAGAAAAAGAAAAAGAAGGTAAATTCTTACGAGGAATCTGGCAACTATCCACAGCTCACTGCGCTCTTGTGTCTGCCATGACCAAAACTAGACTTGGTCTTTTGTGCCACTTCCCAGCTGCAGATAATACAAACTTCAATGTTACCCTTGTTTACTGATCTGTACCTCTCCTTTTCATGCCCCACAGGCCTCAAAGACAGCAGAAAATGCAGCTGGACAGCCGACTGAGGACACAGAAGCCGTAGAATAAATAAATACTGCCTTTCTACACATGCAAGACCCCAAAGAGAAGAAGAGAACAAGACAAATTGCCCCAAACTCTGTCTATTATACACTTAATAGAGTTGATTTCACCGATTAAATTGAAGAATTCACAAGAACTTTGGAATCAGTTGAATATTTAAAGATCCTGTATGGATTCTTAACCCTTTACTACATTCATTGAAAGTACCATGGAAAGAGTGCTTTCTTCCCCAACTTGAGGAGGAAATCTACAATATTTCGAAATAGATTTCTGTCTTTGAAAAGGCTTGTTGCTAAATGGTAATTGTGTGACTGGTGCCTGTGTTTTTTTTTTTGTTTGTTTTTTAAACCTTTATAAAAACCTTTTGGTCTACTTCATGCTTGTTATTCTGCAGCTGAAATTTTCCTTTTTAAGTTAAACAGCTTACAGCGGGCATCAATGAGAGTGGCTCAGACTGTAGTTTTGACATCCAGCTGTGGGTGAAGGATTATTGAATGATGCCAACAGAAACTTGGATCATATTCTCAGTTTCTTTCTCTAAGGCGTTGTGTACCTGAGGCCAACATGGATCCTCATATTGCTTAAATGGGATTGTTTGACCCACTTGTCACATGTTGTTTTCCTTTGACAGCGAAGTTATAACAACTTATCTAAACTTGTTTATAGTAAAAAGGAATATCTAGATATTTTACTGGAAGGTTTACAAGCACTTTGTCTCCTCTTACACGTGAGTCGCAAGGGATGACGATGAGTTTAGTCATCCAGTGCATTTAAAGAGCTGAGACCTTTTTTAGCATTTAAAAACATTTAATCAAAACATTTTTTTCTTAACTACGCCATGCAGTAAAGAATAAAATTCGTCTCACTCATGAAGTGACTAAAAAAAATGTCACTGAATGACTGTAATTACAGGGAGGGTAATAAAATAGATGGCTTTACGTCAGATTTAATGTAGTGAGACTTTATGGTTACTCTTCTATCATCAAGGCCTGACCACAATTTTGGCTGAAACTAAAATGTTTTACCACTAGATAATTTTTAAAGTAATAACCCGAGCAGAAGACTGGAATATATTGAAGTACACAAGCATAAAGTCAATCAGTCTGCTACATTTACTGCCGTTCCCCCTTGAATAAAAATCTATACGTTCCAATTTTGAATAACTTTTCTATTGGTGACACCTGTTACTTGCTTTTACTACTTCATTAGTCTTGTGAAGCATGAAAACTAGAAGCTAGTCAAGCTTTTAAAAAAGGTTTTCTGGGTGTCTTAGGTGGAGATTGACCAGTAAGGGATCTTTTCAGGTCAGAGTTTCATGTCCAGCCCTGGCACAGTGTTTGGTCAGATTTGTCAACAGTTGAATATGATGGTGAAATTCTTCTTTGTAGCTCTGTCAGTGGGCAACAGAACTTTACATCAAATGAAATAAAAACATTTTCATACATTTCTTTGTTTTCTCTGAAGTTCAGTATTGGAAATGCCTGCAATGAAATAATCATGACTGCCTGCATAAACTGTGAATGTTTTAGGGGTAGAAATAGTGGAGGTATCGGGTGTGTGTGGAAGGAGCAGTAATTATATTAATATGACAACATGATACATTTACCACGTGGTATAAATGTGTTAACTGATTTTGCTAGCCCTTCAATAAATCTGGTGTGATAGGTCGTGGTGGGTAACATTGGAAATCAATGACCAAAACTTCTTAATTACCAGATACTTCTATGTTGATTTGTGCATATATGTTTAATTAAGTAACTTGATGTTCGTAGTATTTAATTAAAACTGATATTCCTGCCTGGTTATTTGACAGATTTTCCAATAAATTTAGCGATAAACCGATTAATTGAGAAGATTTCTGTCATTTTGAGAGAATCGGCATGGGCTGAAACCTACACTGACAAGGCTAACAGATTATCCTAAATTACAGGCGATCTAATCTAAACCCATTAAGGTCTGGTGTGGTGTTATACCATGGAGAATAATGCAGTTTAATGACAACACTTCTAACAAACTTTACCCCAGTCTCCCTTAAAAAATGTGTGTTTTTCTGTTTCATTACTTAATAAAAACAGCATCTAAATCAACATGTTACTGGCTAAAATAACTTGTATATTAGATTGTATTCTGCATGGAATAATGGAATTATAGACTTCTTTGTTTTGATATCAGCATTATATATTGACTATCGGCTGCCCTGCTCTCTAAATATCGGCAGTGCCCATATTGGTACTAATCGATAACAACTTTAAATTATATACTATATTGCCCTCTCCCTAGCATCAAGGTAGTTTTGTGCATAAATCGATTGTTAGGTTATAGAAGTTATTCTATGATCAATTAAAAAAGACAAGATCTTCATTTGTGACATAATAAATCTCATCTCATCAGTTTGGTATCTGTAGGCTACTGGAGCTTTTGAAGCCTCATCAGCAGATTAAGGTTCCTCAGTTGCTTTTTTACATGATTCTGAGCAGCTCTAGGACTGTCTAATATGTCGATAGCTACAAATGGACCATGGGGTGACATTGTGTTGTCAGATGATGGTAATTTCACTTGAGTGTTATTTTATGATTTGGAAATTAACATATAACTGAAAGTCAATAGGTTAACTACCTTCTGTAGGCTAATTAGGTGGTAGATAGCCTACATAACTGTAAAATGAAATGTCTACTTTAAACTAAACATTGATCTATTTGTTTCCATTAAAGGTCCTGAAAACTGGGCTCAGCTGTAGTATATCATTTAAAAAGATAGATTTTACTTTAAACCAAATAAAATTACCTTTGAGCAGACAAGACTAATACTGTCCCGATACTGCAAGTCCAAAGAACAACTTCACAACCCGGGAAATAGGACATCCGAGGTGCATGTGAATGCACCATGAACCGCCGATTGCAATTCGCAATCCTCACCACTAGATGCCACTAAAACTTACAAACTGAACCTTTAAGGATTTAAATCCTCTACAGCTCTCAACATCATCAGTAGGCCGACTCATCATCAACATCATCATCAACATTATTACCATATGATACTGTATTACTATTATTTGTCATCACAATTCTGTCACACACTGTAGTATACTGTACATAATTCTACACACTTCTATTTTATTTTCATATATTTAATAATTTTATATGCCTATTTCTATTATTATTATTATTATTATTATTATTTAGTTTTTTTAAATTATATTTCTTAATCCCTTGTTACGTGAGCAACTGTAAGGAAATAAATTCCCCCTCGGGAATCCATAAAGTATTTCTGATTTTGAAGACACAGACCTGACTACATTTCCCAGTGAGCTAAGAAACGCGCTTGAACATGACGTCAAACACCGCTATAAGTACCGCCCTCTTTGTTCGTCACATCCTCTTTCCGTTGCTCTTCTCGCTTTGAGGTATGTGAAGCGTTTCGCTGCTAAAGGAATCCAAACTAATCGTCAAGTTTTACAAATCATCCGCAGGCACTAATAATTTGATTTGCTTAATTTTCACAGAAACTTCTCCACACGATGAGAGCCAAGGTAAGTTAACCAGCCAATCTTAGTATTTTATATCCTCTTCCTGTTCCAATCAGTGCTCCAGCTAGCATCCGTGTAACACCACCTGTACTGGTTTTCATTGTCTGGTTGCTTAACTGTTAAATGTTTATGTCCTCTTGTGTATCTCATGAAATCATTTTAACACTGCTTAATAGCGTAAAATAAACTGTTAAATCACAGGATGAGTAAAGTGGTTCAAGTGCTATTGGTGCACGAAGGCCCGCCTTGGTGCATGCTATTATGTTAGCGTTGCTAAACCTCTGATCTGAGGTAGATGGCTTAAGGTCCAGTTCTGTTGGACTACCAACATTGTTGTTAAATGTCTTCAGTGCCCGTGTAGTTTACAGTGCAAGTCCCAGCGGTTGTTTCTGTGCATCATAGTGCACGTGCTGTTAGTCAAAGAGGGGATAACGTTACTAGCATGCACTTAACTTTAACGTTACACTAATAAATGTCTCTTGTCTTCTAGTGGAGGAAGAAGCGTATGCGCAGGTAAGACTTAATGTTCAACTTTACTTCCTACAAATTCGTAGCAGCCAGAAACGTTTTGATTTTTAAAACACTGTTCAATACACTTGAACACATACTAAAACGGCTCAAGTCTCCATGTACATTATCAATATACTTCAGTTAAGTACTAGCAGTACTCTTTCACTTAACTGCTCCTGGAATCAGAATCGCCTGTAGCAGTATGCATCATTATCTGAAATTGCTTTCATTTATTACAGCCAGCAGGGTGTTCAGTGATACATGATAACTTTGGCGACAACACTGGAAACTCATATTCATGCTGGAGTAAGTCGGCATGTCTGTCTTAAATGCTGACCGATCATTTACTGAAGTCTGTAGTACTAAAGGCAGGACAAGACATACTGTACATGCCTTTAGACACCTTATCAGAATCGGCTTTATTGAAAAATGTGTACACATACAAGGAATTTGACTCTGGATTGTACAGTGCTCATGATGGTATTACTTGTATAATAATGCAGTAATAAAATCAAACACACTCTACAGTATAGAGAATATGGATCAATGTTCTAAATATTAGCAAAGGGTCCGTGTGAATCGGCTAAAAACTTAATAAGATTTGGTTTTAAGTTGTCATTGTTGGCCTTATGTTTGCTCCACATGGCTTTGAAACGCTACCATTTTTCACTTGAGTTAGTCTTTTTGTAAGCTACCTGAAGTTATCTTGCAGTTTGACAGCATAAGGACAAAGTCTGATGCCAAATACGAATGTTACATTTAGAAATAAAATGTGAAACATTAAATCTGCATTCAGAAAATGATTATATGGGGAAGCCTTGACTGATGAGCCAAAAAGCAGGTTTCAAGACGGCTGACAACATTAATTGCAGATTAAACTGGCATTGAGGAGGAAACGTCACATTTTCCTGACGGCTGTGCTTTTGTTTGTCCCAAAAGGCTGAAGCGTAAAAGGAGAAAGATGAGGCAGAGGTCAAAGTAAGCCCTCATCCCTGCCAGCTGTGATCCCGTCAGAGCTTCTCCAGATGGACTGACGCATGTGGCTGAAGTGGAGCCTCAGTCGGAACAGAGGCCTAAACCCTGATTTCGGATGACCCGGCGTCTCATGGAGCCAGTTGTGACTGTCCGACTGGAAGATGGCAAAGATGCTGGATGGATCTCACAACATCAGAACTACAGCTGTTTTGTTCATGGACCTTGATGCATGCATTTAACAACAGTCATGTGGTGTTTTGAACAATAAATGAACACTGTTAAAATTTTACATGTTTCTTAAATTATTTCAGTTATGATTAGTCTGTGGGTGTCCTGTAGGGCTGCATGATTTTAAATATTACACCAGGTATTTTGTCAAACATCTTGTGATGTGATTCACTAAGTGGGAATGATTCTTGCATCACTTAAACCATGAAGTGACATTGTTTTGTACCAGATGTGTTAATCTGGAACAAGATTTGTTCGCTGTGGAATCTCGAACGCAAACTTACAATGCAGCTTTTGCAATTTGAGAGATGTCACTTTGCCATATTTCAATAATTGTACAGTCTTCAGCCCTAATGGCTTTGGTAAATTCCCCTATATGAAGGGAGCAATATCCATTCATCAAATACCAAATCTCTGCTTTTCTGAAAAGTACTGCTTATGCAAATTCAGGTGAAAGGAAAAATGACTTGCAGAACGACATAATTACAAGTGGTCAGCCATTGGCTGCAAGAGATTTGAAACTAAAGGTGTAGGTGACATTCACCATTCAAAGTACATAGAAGCTGTTAAAGCTGAACGTGCATGTACAGAGTAGCTGCACTCCATATTCATATGGCTTAGGGATAATTACAGTAAACAGTGGTCATAAATTGGACAAAGATTTAATTAAATTCAACTGCTTTAAGTTGGTGTTTTCCTCAAAGAATCATCCAGGAAAAACTAACCTGGAGAAGTTTCTTTCTCAGGTGTTGCACCAGTTTTTGTTCTGAAGCAGATTTCAGCACCATGTTCTTATTAAACGGTACAATGTATACTAGAGAATACATCTCTGAAATAAAAGGGCACATTCAAGATGAAACCCTTTTGGGTTTTTTGATAAAAATAAAGTTCAACCGAGCTGGGAAAGGATCCATTCACATTCTTCTGAGCATTGCTCAAAAACTCAAACTACTGCTACATTTGAGTGTATATGTTTAGTGGTCGCTAACATGATTGATCTCCTAGAATGTCTCTGGGTCTGTATGTGTATGAGCTCAACGTATATAAGAGTATGTATCCTCCTTTTGTTCTCAAAGTAGTAGCTATCAGATAATGTAGAGGAGTAAAAAGCAGTGGTGGATGAAGTATTCAGATCCTTAAGTTAAAGTACTCTGTTACAAGTTCTTCTTCAAATTCTGCATTGAAAATGTTAAAGTAAAAGTATTAGAAGTAAAAATACTCAATGCAGTAAAATGACCCCTGTGACTGTTGTTGTTGTGGTATTACATATCATATCATGAGATTATTATTTCTCATGCATTCATGTTTAAACAGGATTTTACTGCTGTGGTAGTTGAGGAGGAGCTAATTTATATTGGACTGCAACTAATAATTATTTTCCTTATGAATTCATCTGCTGACTATTTTCTCCATTAATCAATTAATTGTAAAAAAAAAAAAAAAAAAAGACCCACAGCCCAAAGTGACACCTTCATAAAGCCTTGTTTTGTCCAACCAACAGTCCACACCTCAATGTTATTAACACTACATTCAAATTGATGAAATAATTTAAAGGAAAAGCAGCAAGTCCCCACATTTAAGAAGCTGGAAACATGAAATGTTTTTAAATGAAAGACGACATGCTAATTAATTTTCTGTCAACCGACTCATTGTTTCAGCTGTACATGTATAAATTGTTTGGTAGTTTAATTCATGACAAAACATCATATTTTATAAACCCCTTATATGTTTTGTGTGTAAAAAACTTAATTTGTAAAGTAACTAAATCTGTCAAATAAATGTAGTGAAGTAAAATGTACAATATTTCCCTCTGAGATGTGGTGGAGCAGAAAGAGGCATGAAAAGAAATTACTCAAAGTAAGTAAAGTAGGGGTACCTCAAATTTGTACTTACAGTACTTGAGTAAATAAATAAGTACTTAGCTACTATCCACCAGTAGTAAAAAGTAGAAGTAACATACCGGTAAATGGAAACACTCAAGTGAAGTAACACAAGTAACTCAACATTAGAGCAGGTTAAATGTGTTTTGTTTCTTTCCACCTTCCATTACTTTAAAGATTCAAACATCATAATGCAGCAGGTGTCTCAGTGGGATCATGGGTTTTGTCATAAATTGAGCACTGGTTCAAATGCGCGGTATCGTGAATATATTTTCTTCACACTATCTAAATGAAATTGATTATCTTCTGTGTTGTACGCCACATACATCGCCAGGGGGCGCGCGGGGTCCGCCTTGATGCTGCACACCGAAGAAGCCGTAGAAGAAGAGTTAGTATTGTAAACACAAGGATATGGCTGACGAGAGAGGTGGAGGTGAAGACAACATTAACGACAACATGGGGAACCAGTTACAGCTCTTACCAGGTAACAGTTAAACCCACCTGTCTGTCTGCGCGGTGTTTCACCGGAACAGCGTGCATCTCTCCGTCCTGCTAACAGCTAGCTAATATTTCTCCACCACAGGCCACTGACAGAGATCACATCCTGACTGGCACATTTTATGAACCTCTGTTTCACTTTCTTTTCATTTTCCACCACCAGAGTGACTTATTGAGACGATAAGGTTGCACTAAAAGACGTAACTGTGAGCCTTTATGCTTGCTGTGCCTTGACAGACAATGAGGAAGAGGAGGAGGAAGATGACATGGAGACTGAAGACCGAGACAGTGAGGAGGCAGAGAAGCCCAACAGCATCAACTTTGACCCCAGTCTCCCCACATCACATGCTGTGAGTGCCCAAGCTTTCCTTCTCCAGATAATAATTCAATTCAATTCAATTCCGCTTTATTGGCATGAATGTCATTATAGCTCTCTACAAGTTTGCCATACACATGTAGTTTTACCTTTCCAGTCTTTGTGACTGTGAGAGCGGTGTAGTTAGTTTTCTCACTGTGTTGACACTGACCCCTGTGGTGTGGCAGTACCTGGGTTCAGACATGGAGGAGTTTCACGGCCGTACGGTCCACGATGACGACAGCTGTCAGACCATCCCTGTGCTGCCACACACATCTGTGATGCTGGTGCCCGGTCAGACGCTGCCTCTGCAGCTCTTCAGGCCTCAGGAGGTCAGCATGATGAGGAGCATCATCCAGAGAGACCGCACCTTTGCTGTGCTCGCACACAGGTATGTAGGTACATTGTGTAGTCTGAAGTTACATCAAACAGCAATTGAAAATTAGGTCATTTTGCCTCGATTATTGGGTGTCTATGAGATCAAATAACATAATTAACACAATTCACATTGAGCGAAACTAAACTGGGGGGGGGGCACCTTTTCCCAAGATTTGTCTGAGGGGAGGCCCACAGTCTCTTTGAAAACCCCTGATCTATCTATTAAAACGGTTGTGTAATGTTTTCTGTGACATTTGAAAATCTTTCTAATCTCTGAGAAAATAATCCTGAGGATATCATGATGAGGGTTATCTTGGCTAGAGCTTGGGGACTTCAAATCTGTAACAGAAAGTCTGTGTTATAAACTGGAGGCGTGGAGTTTCAAAGATCTGGGAATTAACCAGGCTTGGATGGAGTTTCTAAGAAAAATATTAAATCAAGTTGCATTATGGGAAACATAGGATCCAGTGATCTTAGAGCTTGACCCAAATGAGAGACTAAAAGGCAGGATGTCTCTGACTTTGCTGCTTCAAGCTCCCATTCTTTTGCCCGTTCAAATAATTTTTGGAGTTTTAATTTGAATGGTTTTAATTGATATCTGTCTCGCCAGTGACGCAGGTGAGCCGGAGGCGGAGTTTGGGACGACAGCTGAAATCTATGCATACCGAGAGGAGCAGGAATATGGCATTGAAACTGTCAAAGTGAAAGCTGTGGGAAGGCAGAGATTCAAAGTCCATGAGATAAGAACTCAAGCAGACGGGTAAGTTGAATTTCCCCATAAACCATTAAACTAAAGGTTAGGGCTAAATGCACTGTGCACATTTGAATGAAAGCCGCACTCTATGAATGAAGACATAAATGCTGGTCCTCACGAGTAAGTGAGGAATCGGAGACCTGCAGGTTTTCATTGCAATCATCTAGTCAGGGACGGGCTCAAACAGGAATATAAGATGCATTTAATTTTCTGGTATTAACTACCTGATAAGATAGAAAACCCGCAGCACTCTGCACTAGGACTGCAGATCAGTGGAGCAGCCTCATCTACACTGAACAGCCTCTACATTCATTTGTATTCACATTGATCTTGAGCATGACAAATTGAAAATATTCAGATTCCTTAAGTGTTCTTAGTTGATGTAAGCAATGAAATCTAACTTTGAAGCATCGCATCAGATATCAGTTTTTGACTAGCCATTACTTGCAGCCCCATTACACAGTATGTTCAGGACATTTTTCTCAAAATGACTCCTGTCGGGCTCTCATAGTTCACAGCTAGAGGGCAGTCTAACTCTATTCACAGTCCCCTTCATGGTATGCAGCTGTCACTACTGTCAAACATACACATTCAGGATTTTTTACAAGATTTATGGCTGTGATGTAGTTTTTCTGCTACTCTAATACTCTCAAGAGGATTTACTTTGTTTCTAATCATCACAAGAAAATGCATAGCATATTCTCTGTGCCTCCTCTTGTTGGGAGGTGCAGGAAACAATGGAAGCATTATGGAGAAAAGCTGCCTGTTTCACTCTTGTAGTCATACTATAGATCATGTCTACTTACATCCCCCACCGTTCAGGAAATCATTGAGGTTTGCTGTCCATAAAACTGAGTCTTCATAAAGACTTATTTCCATCTTTGTCTAGTTGCTGTCGTATAATTCACATAAATTGGTTGCCGTAATCTTGTTGACCTCTTGCTGTGACTCCAGCAAGCATACAATGAAGTTATTGCTCACTTAAATGGGATCTGCTGCCAACTGAGGTGATGTGTGCTGCAGCTACACTTGTCCCATGAAGTAATGGCCACATATTAAACGGATGACTTTTGAAGATTTATTTGATTTCTGTCTCTTGACAAGAAAATAAAAGACATAAAAGCTTAAAACAACATCTCTAATTCATTTTAAAGTCTCTCAAGCCAGTGTCCATTGATAAACAGGCCAACATTAGTAATATTTTTATATTATTAATATATTAAATCAAATAACATTACTAAACAAAAAAGAACTGTCTATGTAAAGCACACTTACAAATATCGTACACAAAAGTAAATATGAAAGGCAATTACCATGTGTGTCTGTTGGTTATTTTGGGGCTGTATGTCAGTCCTCTGCATGCTCTGCATCCACATTGTTTCTTTCCATAATGCGATGGTTATACCCTTAACGTAACCCTGGTTCTTTATGGCCTTGTTAATGTTTGTACGTCTGAGCTCCACAGTTCACTGAGTTCATCTTGGGTGAGGAGTGGTGGAATATTTCTTACTGCTGACGGACAAAATGTGCAGACAACACCTTTTTTATGATCGTCTCAGATTTACAAACATTCTGTCATAAACCTGGTAACATTCAGCCAGAACACCATTTGTTTAATCTGTTATTCATCTGCTCGTCTTCTGTTGCTCTCTTTCAAATCCTTGCCTGTTTTATTTTTGTCCACGACGCATGTCATCGTCTCACTTTCTTTCTCTCCTCAGGATCAGACAAGCCAAAGTACAGATCCTTCCAGAACGAATCCTTCCAGATCCCCTCTCTGCCGTGCAGCTCACACCCCTCTCCAGGCTCCACATGCACCCCTCCTCCAAACCCCCGACTCTGACCTGCAAACAAGCCCAGTGCTGGTGGAATAACTACCAACAGGTCAGACACGCAAACACATTATATACATGTGTCTTTTGCTATTACATACTTTAGAATCAGAAAAATTTTATTGTTTTGTTTGGTCTATAAAATTGGGGGAAAAAGTCCGACCAGCAGTCTAAAACTCAAAGATATTCAATTTACTGTAATGTAAGAGTAGGAAAATTAGCACATCTTCACATTAAAGCTGGAAAATCAGATTTTTTAGCATTATTATTAGGGACTGAATTTTTGCCGATATCCGACATGCTGATATTTTCCAACTCATTTTGGCCAATTAGTGATACCAATATTTTCAACAAGTTCGATTCTCACTCTTTTATTCCCCTTTCAAACCTCTTTTTTGGGGGGGGTGGCATTGTTGTTATTATTATTATATTTATTATTATTATTATCCATCTTGTGTTAATTAAACTAGTCTAATTTGCAGGCCTGATCACTCAATCATGACTGGACCAAAATAGTCACGTGACACGCGCAGTTGGAAGACAATAAAATAGGTTTCCAGTGTAATATTTACAAAATAAATGCCTACAGCTTGCCCTAGCTTTAAATACAGTGACCCATTTTAGCATTGTGCAGAGAAACACAGAGAGATGTTAGTTGGTTTTACATTACAAGATACAGACAGGGTGGAAATTTTACAAGCATGGAGCGACCGTGAACACACCAGTGCAGATGCCATTCAATACCACATTGGTATCGATCCACATGCGGCGCACCTGCTTCTGTGAAGATGGAATCACGAGTGAGTTAATTAAACGGGCCAACTTTATAAAACATACTGCTGATGGCGGAAGTGAGCAGAGCAGGGACCCATACAGGGAGAGAGAGACAGAAAGAGGCGGGGCAAGCCGGTGTGTTTGCAGTGAGAGACCAGAGTGTAGGTGTGTGCGAGTGTGGGGGAAACGAGAAGTGAAGAGAAAGCGAGCAGATTCAAGTAGTGAGTAAACACTAAAATAAGGTGGAGAATGAAGTAGAATTAAAATGATGAAATAAGGACATAACCTACCAGAAATACAAATACCTTAGACACCACATCATGGTCCGCTGGCAGATGCAAACATAAAATATAATGCTTTCCTAAATGTCCACATTCACTGGGCATGATCGTGATGATGGCTCTTAAGACAGGCAATAAAATTTGTAGTGTTGAGGGAATGCGATTTGACTCCTGCTCGTTTTGGACACACCGCAGACATACTTGCAAACTAAATAATTGATTATTCATTCAAGGGAATTTACAAGGAAAAAAATGCCAAACATTCCCTTCTTTGAGCTTCTCAATTCAGACGATTTGCTGCTTTTCTTAATCCTGTGATATAGTGAACTAAATATCTTTAGGTTTTGGGCTGTTGTTCGGTCAAAACTGGCCTTGTTTACATCACCCGACAGGGCTTTGAGAAATGTTGATGGGCATGCTTCACCAATTAAAGACCAAATAAATGATCGATAAATCTGGAAAATAATCACCAGATTAATCAATATTGAAAATAGTCATTAGTTGCAGCCTTAATGCCACGTCATAACATCTATTTTACACAACATGGCCAAAAGTATGGGTTTGGACTGTCTCTTAGTTGCAATTAAAGGAAATCCTAATGCTACAACACACAATAATGTTTTGGACAGTGTGCTTCCAAAATGCAACGTTGCGCATTGTCATACATGTTTATACTGTTTGGATGTCCAAATACATGTTGTGCAAGTCAGTAATAGCAATATGAGACAGTAAGAGAACAATAAAGTAATATTATACTCAAATCATTATATGCAGATGAATTTGTTAATGGTGCATCTGTTGTTCTTCACAGAGGAAGTTTCAGTGTGCCAGCATGACGCCGTGGCCACCCTGGGTCTACGCACTCTACGACTCTGTGAGTACTGCGGCCCGTGTGTATTATTTGAAATTTACTCCATACATAAACATCACATAGGAGCGAATGTAAACCAACCAATCTGCTTCCTGTGCTTCCCCTCACAGGAGTCGCTCATGAACAGAGTGAAGAAACAGCTCCATGAATGGGACGAGAATCTGAAGGATGACTCTCTCCCTACGAATGCCATAGGTCAGCCTCTGTTCAGTGTATTACTGATGGATCGCAGGCGCGCACACACATGCACACGTACATCCTTCTGTTTGTGTTCTTTGTGCCTTCCTTCCTTTCATCCTGCTCTTTCCCTCCTGCCTGGTTTCTGTCAGACTTCTCCTACAGAGTGGCGGCCTGTCTGCCCATAGACGACGCTTTGCGGCTCCAGCTGCTGAAGATCGGCAGTGCCATCCAGAGACTTCGCTGTGAGCTGGACATCATGGACCGGGTAAGGAAAAGACACCACTAACTCTTCATCCCTGCCAAACCACCTTTCTACTCTGCCCCTGCAGTCACAGCCATCATTTCCCTCATGGTGTGATTCGTACTTGTGTTGTACTGTGCACACTGTGTCTGTTTATCCATCTGATGTTCTTTGGTTATTTAACCATGTGTGTCGGGGAATGACAGATGTGTTGTTGCTGCAGTATTTCAGTCCAGAGTTGGCTTTCACAATCAAAAGTGTTTGAGATAGTTGAGCTTAAGCAAGGATAGCTTGAATTAATCACTGGTAACAGTGCATTTTAATAGATCTGTAGTAAACATGCAGTATAGATTAGCTGTTTATCACATTTAATCTGTAAGAGGTATATACGGTGAATACTGGCAGTCCTCACTTTATCTTGCCCAGCTTCATATTTTAATATAAAGAGAGCAAAGCGCCCTGCAAACCTCACTGCTTCAATTCAAGACTTGCATTTGTCCTAAATCAGTGTAAGGTTCGTTCTTTGGTTATTTCGTTTCAAAACCAAATGGAAAAACAAGTTGTTTTTTGTTTTTTCTGTTTTAAAACCAAAACGGAAAAACCAAAACGATGTCTGTTTTTTTGTTTTTTCCGATTCAGTTCTGAAACGAAATAATCAAAGAACGAATCGTACACAGATTGTCCTACCACCATATCAATAGGTGATGGAATTATACATATCTTCCTTTATTGGGTAGGGTATTCTGCCACAGATGCCATTTTTAGCACCATCTACTCCCAGTCATCATCATCATAGCAACTAAACTACAAATGCAACTGGACAACAAGGCAGGGCCGGGATGCCCGATGAATACCGTGACAAAAGAAATGTTGCAGCATTCAGTATTGTGTGTGTTGACTTCCTCTCTTTTGTGCTTAAGATGGTAAAATACCTTGTGCATGACAACTAAACTAATACATGGACCTTGAAATTTGCAAGTATGGTCAATGTATTTCAAGCCCCCTGAAATGACAAAATAGAGCTGTGTAAAATACCTCTGTTAATAATGTGACTATATTTTCGGGACTAATGATGCTTTCTGCAAATATTTACACTCATGGCAATACTGACAGGAAATTCCTAGTTTTTTTTCTTCAGATATTTATTCAAATTATAGACACAACAACAATCAGGGGTAGCTGTATAAGAAGTGAAAATACATAAATAATAACAAAGGAAGGACATAGCAAAATAAATAAAATAGGTAACGTGGATTCAAAATAATATATCAACTGTCCAAAAGAAATTTGTCAAACACAAAGTTAGTCTTGATTGCCTTCTTGTTCTTAATGTTTTTAATTGTGGTGCTATATTGATGCAGTTCTAGGTAATTCCTAGTAATGTATATGTGATGGTCAGACAAGTAGAGACCATAACTGTTCATCTAAAGGTTCAGTGTGTAAGTTTTAGTGGCATCTATTGGTGAGGGTTGCGAATTGCAATCAGCAGCTCGCGGTGCATTCACGTGCTCCTCGGATGATCCCACATCCCGAATTGTGAAGTCGTTCTTCCGACTTCAGGTGTGTTCTAGTGCTCTTAAGTCGGAATGTGGAATCAACATCGACACTACTACAAAGATGTGTTGGATTAGCATTATCAGAGTGTATAAACAACATGCAGACATCTAGTTCACTCTACTTGGACAGCAAACTAACCGTTATAACCATATTACAAATTACATGTTTGCAAAATATGTATATGCAATATGTGATTTTGCACAAATCCCATACACTTTATTTCTCTTTTTGCTATAAACATGTAAGGAGGGAAAAAATATTTTGATTATTCCGTCACCACATGAATGTACCCCTCCCTTTCCAAGCGAGCAGGAGAAGCTACAGTCAGCTCTTGTGCTAAATAAAACGTGTGAGCCATTTGTTCAAATTTCATTTCTTTTCATACTTCTAACAAACCAGTTGACTTCTACTTCTGCTACTAACATTACTTCTTCTTCTTCTTAAGTAAACGTAGTGACGAAACGCGCTCTGTAGAGCAGTTTGTCCATTTGGGCTAGTGTGGAAACATGGCGGCGCAACATAGTGACGTCCATGTTAGAGGACCCGCGGTGTATGTAGATAGAAATGGCTCTTTAAGGTAATAAAATCATAACGGTTCATTATGTACACCACTGAAAACATAGTTAAGGATGTTGTATTACATTTCTGTCAATAGATCCTCCTAAATATTACACACTGAACCTTTTAACTTAGCTAGTATGTTAAAATATTCAACCATATTATTTATTTGGGGTTTCATCTAAATGCATTAACAATCTAAACACTGAATTGGGATCACACACTTGATATTTTGGTCTCATGTGATCTGAATGTGGGTGAAAAATTATTCTTATTGGTTCTTTTTGGTGCGCTATGATGGATTTCCCTTAATGACAACATTTTGGCAGTTATCAATAGCTTTCATTGATCAACGAAATTCCGTAACATTTGCATTTGAATGTTATAATGACATAAATTAGAGCTATTCCTGCGTCGCACACCTTATCACAGACATTTAGTTGAAAACACACACACACACACACACACAAAGCTCTTAGCGTGTAGTACTACTTTTACAACACCACAAAGCGAAGCTGTCACTGGATGTGTGAAGTGCTTCTACAGTGTGCCTGCCTATTATCTGCTTTTATTCTCCCGCCTGATTGAGGATAATAATCCTCCTTAAAGTGTCTTACTGTTCATACTGAAGACCTGAACTCGTGTCCTCCAGCTGTGGGCTCTTGTGGAAGCATAAAGGATGGGGTGGGTTTTAACAGCACCTTCAATGGGCCTCCGCAAGGAGAATATGTTGCATTGAGAGTGTAAAGTGTAATGAGAATGTAATCATCTTTTTAACACTTTATTGTCTGTCCTCCTCAGTGCACGTCACTCTGCTGTAAGCAGTGCCAGGACACAGAAATCACCACCAAAAATGAGATCTTCAGGTGAGGACACATCAGCGCTTTTGCATGTTGCCGTTGGGTTATTACAAATGCTTTTCAGCACAGTGTGTTAAAACACATGTTAAGAGTCTTGTTTGAAGGGAGATAATTCATCATGTGAATATTACACTTTCTTCACCTGTCTGGCAGGAAGCCAAAACAAGAAGCTGAAAATGTCTGAAAGCCGCACACAGTCCAACCAGCAGCACTAATAACCCTTTTTACATCACTGGGAGTCATTTTATTCAGTTCAGATATCAAAAATATCACTGTGAATGCTATTAATAGGCTGCATATCTTTTTATTTTACTGACAGACAGAAACATTACATGTCAGGCTGCATTTTACTATTGAGTCATCCCTGTAGTAGCTGGGGATAATGTAAAAATAACCTCATTTAAACTGACGATGGTACCTTTTGTGTGTTTTACCTTTTGTCACTGTAATTGCTGTAATTATTAACACGTCGAAGTCGATACTGACCGTCTGTGCTCAAGTTGTGTTCAGTCTGCAGTTATATAATGAACCTGCACAAACACTCACACACTGTTATGTAATGTAATTCTCTAACTGTCTATGATGTGTGATGTTTAATCTGTGTGCCAAAGACTGACACACAAATCCCCTAACACCAATGAAACTCTCCAGACCCTCACTGTACGTTTATATGAAAAGTGCATTAACAGATCTGTCTGAGCACATCCAGATAATCTGAGTGCGTGATTATGTGTTTAATCTGATTTTTGAAGTTAGACATTCAGAAGTTGCTAATCCTTTAAAGTACACTTCCTCTGACTAACAAAACTACATACGTAGCTTCCACATTTCTTTACTGCTTAGAGCGTCCTGTACAGGTGGTTACTCTTTAACTGGGTTCATCTGCTCTTGCCCACCAAGACTTTTTTTATATGTACTTCCATTTCTTTCTTATAGACTTTTGGAATAAATGTACATTTATTATATATACCAGCATCCATTCTTTGTCTTTTACTATAATACCCACGCTGGCCTCCCTTCTGTGAGACATTCATGACACAGAAGCAGGAGTCTAGCAGCCCACCCATATAGGACCCTCTAAGCTGTAAAGCAAACCCGCCCACTACGAGGCAGGGATCATTTCAATGCTACACCTGGCATTCTATTGGTTGGGGGATTTTGACAGGATTGTTGCACAAAAAGATCTGAAAGCCGAGCAGAAATCTGAGAGCAAATGTTTCACGAATGCACAGAAGCAGTGGGAGAAGAAGGGCCTCTGAGTCAATATATCTGAGTGCAAGCACGCAATTTGAGCAGAAGCAGAGCAAATCAAAGCGCAAGCCTTTGAGTGCAAGGGCAGGGTTTTGAGGGAAAGCATTACGGCATCTGAACGTGAAGTCAATGAGTCATGCTGTCAAATTGAAAGACCATACTCTTGAATAAAGATAGGACAATAATCCCATAGTTGTGATGAACTCACAGCTAAGTTCAGAGAGGTTGCAGAATTTAAATGTACGATTTAGGCATGTTTAAGGCAGTTTGGCAGGATTTATACCTTTTTATGGAAGCTCTAGTCAGTCTCTGGCTGTTTTAATCTTCTTTCCAAAGAACATTTGGATGTTTTGTTTTTGGCTGAACAGTTTATTGAAATCAAAATTACTGCTAATGACATATTCCACCTGCCTCTCCTTTCCCTGCAGCCTGTCTCTGTATGGTCCCATGGCTGCATACGTCAACCCACATGGTTACGTCCATGAAACCCTGACTGTCTACAAAGCCAACAACCTCAATCTGGTTGGCAGGCCGTCCACACTGCACAGCTGGTTTCCAGGGTACCTAGCATGGCATTTAGCTCACACTCCTCCATGGCACTACTGGATAATACAACACACACAGAGTGACTTAGTCCACTGTGACTTCATCAATGTATCTTTTTAAATAAATGTGAGATGTACCTCTGAATCATTGCACCAGAGGTCTTAAACATGCTTTAATACCATATTTGGTCTAGCTATAATCCATTGCTTGGAATTAGAAGCATTTGCCCATACTGTGTGGCGTCATAATCAATAGTCTTTCTTTGTTTTATATCAATTGGGCTCTCCAGAGGTCTGGGATCTTTGTGTGACACCAGGGTTCGGTAGAGAGCAGCAGGGAGGTTTTACCTCTTCGAGACCCTCTGTGTTAAGTCAGACTGCTCGTCTAATAACATGGCACTTAATTTTGTTCAAAAGTGAAGTTTACTATTCTCTCACTAGTGGAAGCTCTCTGAATATGCTGTAAATGTTCTGAATGACACACTGTAAGTGCAAGTATGAGCTGGGAGTTATGGGTTACATGTTATTATTGAAAATACTTGCTTTGAAGGGATATTTCACTGAAAATCTATGTTTTTAGTATTAAATACTCCAGGCATGTGAGGCTGCTCCTTCATGGAGGACAGCAGCTGAAGGGCATTTTAAAACCTCCGGCTGGATCGACTTTATTTTCCCTTAGTGCATTGCTAATCTGTTGCTGACCAAAACCACCCGACCGAGACCCTTTAGAGAAAGTGGTCTCGGCCCGGTCACAAATAATTTCAGGAGCCGTTTGTTTGGGGTGAAAAGTGATCCGACCTCGATCTGACCTTGTGTTTTAGCCCTTTAAAGACAGAAAGCTTTCATTTTAAATTCCCCCTCCACTCAAAAATGTGTTTTGCGTACTGCTGCCCTACTTTAATATTTGACCTTCACTGTGCAGATTGATGTATGTACAGAGTTTGACCACATAAGAAGGCTGTTTTCGCATTCGTCTGCTGAGGGGCACGTTAAACATGACTTTGTGACATCACAACTAGTTTGGAAGCTAGAGCTGGGCAATAAAATGATTATAATTATAGTGATATAATTTTCCTCAATTTAAATATAACAAATGATATAATTAATTTGAATCACAAACGAATTAGCACTTTGCTATTAAAATATTTATTTTGTTGAGGATGAAGGACTGAAAAAAAGATTTTACTTAAATTTATTCATGCACATTTGTTGAAAAACTCAGATTTGTGAAATGATCCACTGTTTGTTAAAGGTTTGTCATGTTCTGACCATAACGAATAGTTTAAAACCACAATAAACTGTCTGGTTCCTTCAACTTTCACCCAGGAGCAAAAATCAGCCTTTAAAGTTGAAAGAAATAATGATTTGACATTTATCATAATTACCGATATCGACTGATATGATTTTGTTTTTATTGTGATAACGTTTTTGGCCATATAGCCCTGCCCTATTGGAAACCCATCTGGTTCAGTATGCACCTTAAAAAAGTGTAACAAGGGAAACCTCCAGAGTACACACACTGACAGAAGACTTTTTTGGATATATCTTCTGTCCAGTAGTTTAACTTTAACCTCTTCCTTTTCTGTCAGGTACGCCTGGACAATTGCTCAGTGCCGGAACTGCGGGTCTCACATGGGTTGGAAGTTCACAGCCACCAAGAAGGACTTGTCTCCACCTCGTTTCTGGGGTCTGACTCGTTCAGCTTTGCTCCCCCGTATCCCCCAGGGCGATGGGGAGGAGGGCAGAGAGGGCTCTCGTCTCTTCTGCCTGTGATGTGGGACCATCATTTCCCCTTGCTAAAAAAAAAAAAACCCTGCAAACCTCTCACACCTGGATCTTAAGGCACTCTCTGGCTGTGATTACTTTTAGTAATCAGTGCATCACACAGCGCCTGTCACCCCTGGCAGCAAATCCATCATATTAGCAGAAAGGTCATTCGGCCTTTAAATGGCACTCTGAGAGCAAAGTAATTGTTCTTAAAGGTTCTTGAAATGTGGAGGCAGCAGTGAGACGACTCGGCGCACTGTGATTAGAAATTGAGAATAACGTGTTGAACAGATTGATTCCATGACAAGTGGTAACAATTCGCATGTAGCTCCCTGATCTGCACCCCTGTCCAGCTGATTGCTTGGTGTTTGCAGACACACACAAACACAAAAGCTATGCTTAATGCATAATTTCCCTTCAACTCCTTTCCTCTGTATGATGGAGAGTGTGCAGGTGAGATAGATATTGTGGGCGAGCAGGCTGAGTTAGCCACTTTATCTGCTGTGAAACCATCCAGTTAAAATAAATTCACTTAGCATTCAGATCCTTTGTGGGTTTCTCAGATATTTTTTCTGATGTAATTTGAGCTGCCACACTTCAGTGGAGGAAACCGTTTGAATGAACGTGCACTCATGTATGTGTAGATCTGTCAATATTGGCGATATTTTGAATCTTAGATTGGATGTATTTTTTTTTATGCAAGAAGATTGGAAAGTAATTTAACATATTCATGTGTGGAGACGTGCTATCTATTATCAGGCCAGTTTGTTATGTAATAAACAAAAAACTGAGGTGACAAGAACGATAATGTGTAATATGCTTGATATAATCAGTGTCTGTTTTGCTTTCAACAAAGGCTCATTGTCAGAAAATGCGCTTCAAGAAACAAACGTTGTCTCTGGTTGCACAAGTGAAAATTAGAAATGTCCTGGTGCCTAATAGCAGACTGTTTTTTTTATTTAACACAGAGAGCGAGAGGAGCGTTCACCCTTCTTCATTCAGTGTTTTCATGTTGTGTGGTATGTTAAAATGTTGTGCCTACGCCCCAGCTCGGTGTCTTTTGATAGGTTTGATGAATCAATGAACCGAAGACATGAATCAAAGATTATAAATGGCGATGGGATGATTAGATATTTGTAGGGTTCTCTTTGGGTTGAAGTCTCACAGTTTTGAGGATTTTACTTGCAATTTTGTTGCAAAAGGGGCTGCCTCACGTTTGTATAAATTTAACTGTAAATAAGACGCAGTTATAACATGTTGTGTAATATAACTGGTGACTCTTATCAATAATATAATTTCTCATTTCTTTTCATGTTACACAAAGTTTTTAGGATATAATCTTTTCATCAGTAAGCAAAGTATTTGATCGCAATAAGAAATCATCTCAGATGTGAACCTGTATTATTCTGTCTAATGAAGTCTTTTTGGATGTTTTCTTTAAGGAATAGTTTGACATTTTGGGAAATACTCTCAGGTCTGCAGGATAAATATTAAAGGACCAGTGTGTAAGATTTAGAGGGATATTGGCAGAAACTTAAGATAATATTCAGAAGTATGTTTTCATTAGTGTATAATCACCTGAAAATAATTGTTGTGTTTTTGTTCCCTTAGAAGAAGGCCTTTTGTATCTACAGAGGGAGCAGGTCCTCTTCCACAGAGAAGACCATGTTGTACCACCATGTTTCTGCAGTAGCCCAGAATGGACAAACCGGAGTCTGGCTCTAGAGAGGGCCTTTGGTATTTTTCGTAGGTTTAGCGGCCAGTGTAGGTTCTCTTACATGCTTGGAACAGGAGGGTTATCAGTAGGTTGGAATCTGTAGCCTCACCACTAGCTGCCCCTAAATGCTACACGCTGGTCCTTTAAGCTCCCACCAGCAGGTAATTAGCTTAGCTTAGCTTAGCGTAAAGACGTGAAACTGGGGTGAAACAGCTAGCCTGGCTTTTTCTGCAGGTAACAAAATCCGCCTACCAGCACCTCTGGAGCTCCCTAATCAACACCTTATATCTTATTTGTTTACATTGGTTTTGCACCTGGCTATTTCCTGGACAGGGACTCCACAACATTTTCCCTTCCAGTTTTTTCTCTTTGGTTTTTGGAAAGATCAAGCAAACCTCTTCATTAGCATTAGCTTTTCAAGTTTGTGATTGTTTGTTTGTTTTTTCAATGGACAAAACCAGGATAGATGTTCACTCTTTTCTGCTCTTTATGCTAAGCTAAGCTAACTGGCTGCTTAGGTAGCTTCATATTTACCTTTTATTATACCTTTACATTAAAAATATCTTTAAATCTTAGGTGTTATTCTTATGGCCTAAGCACGATGTCATGGGTGTACAGGTCTGAGTTGTATCGACACTCAGTGAGAAAATACTTTGACTTTGTGGTTTCATGTGTTGAATGAACCTTTCATTTCTCTATCTTAATATTTTTGGGGGTTTCCCATAAAAGAGTATTCCACTGATTTAACATTGCACTTCTATAACATCAGCGGACTCTAGTTTTTTTGTTTTTTTGTTTTTTTAAGTATAAAAATTGATGCGGCAGAACCAGAGATGTTATTGTTTTTATTCCATTCATTCTTCTTCCTTGTCAAAACCTGCGTGTAACATTTTAGTCTGACATTTGAATGTGTTATGCTAGTAGCAGATAATGTAGCCTCAAGCCGCTAGCCTCGAGCAGAGGTGACGAGTGGGCTACAGAGGCCTGGTGAGTGCTCTTCTTCAGATCATTTTATTTTAATTTCTCAGCCTTCTTGTGGCACAAAAAGCTTTATACAACTTTTTTTCCCACATAAGCACTAGAGTGTAGTACTCCACCAACACCTTTAAACAGACCTTGATGTTGCAAATTTGTGAGGTTTCCCTTAAAGAATCAGAAAATGTGAACTTCCTCAGAAATGTGACTGTATATCAAATTCACATTTGAAATATTTTACTTAGTATTGTCTGTTGGACCTCCTATAGTTTCATATCATATCATCCCATCTTATGTTTCATAAATGAGAGGTTTTCACCGTGAGAATAATATGTAAAATCTAAAATCCAGTGTTATGCCTCTTGATTATATTTTGTCTCATGTCATTGATTCAGTGTTTGCCAGGCTGTCAGCCTTTCATTCACCCCCAAACAATAAAATATAATAAAGTCAATGGCCTGGTTCAAAAGAAGGCCTTTACTTGTTTTTCTGTGACATCCAGTGTACAACAAAGTAAAATAAACAGGCAGTTATCCTGTGACTCTGCTGAATTACATGTTTCAGCAGGGCAATCGATGCAGTGTGTCAAGAGGCAATTTGACATTCTGAAAACGTGTGTGTGTGTGTTGAGGTGATGAATTGAGCTTTAACAAGCAGGTAAACGGTAATGTGATGTCCTCCTATAATTTGTAAATCTTCACATATTGATGAGATGGTATACCAACTCATCAATATGCATTTATCTGCAAGATGTGGACAGGATTATTTGTATGCCAGCACAGTGAGGGTCTAATGAATCTCTGTAAGGGGCCGTGTCGACCACATGAGGGTCCCTCAGAGAAGAACATTTAAAATAATGATGTTGACAGGGTTTGAGACATGCAGCATGTGATTTCTCATATCTCACCACTTCAGCTTGACATCTGAAATACTCCTGACTTGTTTTGTGGCTTTAGCAGTTGTTGTGTGTCTCTGCTTCTATCTAGTAAAGTTTCTTGACTATGAATTTGTTTTGTAATGTGTTTTTGCTGTTGCTTGTGGCACAGGCTCTTTATTGAACTGTTATTCACTCACAATTATTCTGTTCATTTGATCCGGTTGTCAAACAACCTTACTGTGAAAAGCAGTTGTTTTTAGATTTATGTTTAGTGTAGAAATGTCAGAAAGTTCCCAAAACCCAAAGTGATGTCTTCAAATTACTAATTTTCTTTGATCTGAAGTATAGTCCATTAAAAAGCAGCAAATTTTCACACTTGATAAGCTGGAACCAGTCAGTGTTTGGGATTTTAGCTTGATAAATTACATAAACAATTAATCTGTTATTGAAATTGTTTTAATTAAATTATTAATTATATTTATACTTACATTTGTATTGGGTATTTACTTGGAGACAACAACACAAGCACAAATACTGTATAACATTTAACTAATCACATATGTATAATCATTTTCCAATTATTTCATCATTAAAATTACTTTCATGTAAATGATCCACTTTTCCCAATTAATGTTAGAAATATTTCCTTTAGGTAAATTTTTCCATTGAATACATTTCCTGAGTAATATCCCTGCAGGCTTCTTACAGTGAAAACAGCAGAGAGTGAATGAGGCTGAGTGGAGATATTACCGGAGATGTATGATTGCTTTGCCACCGAACGCAGTCAACATGAACTTAACATCAAAGCTGTCCCAGTTGTTTAAAGTTGTAAAGGGACATATATTAATGTACGGTATGTTTATAGAAAAATGCTGTCAAAAATAGACATGGTAATATATTGATCAATTAACAAAATACAAAGTAAGTGGACAGAAGAAAAATCTAAATCAAATCAATTTTTGGTATGACCGTCCTTTACCTTCAAAACAGCTTTAGTTCTTTTAGGTACACTTGCACAAAGTCAGGGATTTTGTAGGAATATCTGATGTATGAAATAAACAATTATACCAAACAGGTGCTAATGATCATAAAGTCAATATGTAGGTTGAAACACAATCATTAACTGAAACAGAAACAGCTGTACAGAAGGAATACAAGAGGGTGAGAAACAGCCAGACTACAAGATGAGGTTGCTGAAGACCGTAAACAGTGAGGGAACAGAAGAAAAATCTATATCAAATCAATATTTGGTGGGACCACCGTTTGCCTTCAAAACAGCATCAATTATTCTGAGAACATTTGGAAATAGATTTTGAAGGAACTTGGCATTTAGGTTGGCCCAACATTAATCTGTACAAATACTCAGTGGCCAATTTATTAGGAACACCTGTAGTCCAATGCAATCCAATACAATGTATATTATTTTATATAATGTTCAGTTTTATTATTGAGGTCATAGTTAGCTTAGTTGTGGTATTGTACTGGGGTGCATTATAATCAGAGGTGTTCTTATCAGTCACTCACTAAATCAACTTTTATTTCAGACACATAGGTCCATATCAGTAAAATAAAAATAAAATAAAGAGACACAATACAAAGACACGCAGTACAGAATTCTGAACAAGATCATGACATTTCACATTCCACTATAATTAAAACACATACAGACATTTGTTCCAGTTTTTCCAAAAGCAAGAGGAACACCTTGTGTCACTTTGTTTGGGCTCAGATAAAGCTATTGTGATGACATTTTTTAAAAATCTATCAGCTGACTTATAAATTTATGCATGAAATTCTGCAATACAGCATGGAGAGTAGGAACATTAGTCACAAACATATGACTTGCACTTATCCATCTTGGGAGCTTAAGCAAGATTCTGAATGCGTTAGTGTGTTGCTCTCTAACAGCACGATATTGTGTGTTGAAAAATATCTGCCCTGCTGAAGTGTCCTTGAGCAACTCAGTTTCTTTACTGGTTTACCCATCTTTACCTCTCCAGGGCTAAAAGCAACCAGGAGCTCTGACTTGCCTGTGGAGAGAGAACCACCCGAATTCCTCACATATTTATTTATTCATTTGGTTTATAATAATCCTAAGTAGCACGAAAGGAGACACATAACAACAATGACAAAATAACACCAAATACAATGAGAATAGATAATTGCTGGATTCTGTGGAGCCAAAGCTGTCCACAAACTTCAGATATTATAGGTCAAAGTATTGAGACATACCAAAGTCCTTATAGGCTATAGGCTCCATAAAACGTCTCTGGCCATACTAACATTCTCAGACAAAATGGACACTGTTACAGCTGCCATAGTGATGCTGACAAAAACCTTTCTACAGTTTAGATAATGACTGCTCTGTTGGGATCCACTGTTCCACATATTCCCAATATCACACAGGCAACAGACACTAATGGCCTGTCGTCAGTCTGGTCTGTTGATACAGCATTTGTTTCCTAATTGTCCAAAATGAGGGCTGAAAAAGATTTTGGACAGTGACAAATTTTCAGGTTCGACCAAAAGTCCTAATCAGGAATCATTTTACCTTGATGAAAGCATCTTTATCCTGACTTGTATGAGTGTGAGACACACATACAAGCATGTGTACTCTGTGCATGTGTAATATCTTTCAGGCGGTGTCTGCCTTTGGTATGCTGCTCCTTCAGTGTGAAAATCCTTCATCCTGAGTTGCTGTGTTGACCAGCTGATCATGCACAAGCCATGTATGACACACACCAGGTCTTTGTTACTGTCAAATGTAATGTCACTGGAAAAATGCATTCACAGTGTCTACAATTTGATCCTAAAGATTTACCTCAGGTGTCTTTGAATATTAAACTTTGTTATTAGTGGATTTTCAAATATGTATTTATATACAAATAAAATAAACAAAGCAGTTGTGAGAATATGACTTTATTCTGCACTTGCTTTCTATAGTTCGTTAAGCCTGAACAACACTTTACGAATACAGTCACTCAATGTGTGATTTTAAAACAGTTATTCACCACAGAGAACATTTATAGAAGTGACAATGTATTTCACAATATTTGAATGCAGTACTTGATTTTTTGGATGCAGGCACATATTTTATTTCATGATTTTAACAATGTGACTGTATTTCTTCTCTGGTATATTCATTAAAACACAGTTGTTCTTGGTTTCACTCGTGATACAGGTGTCTCTTTGGAAAATAAAGCTACAGCGTATGCTATATATCTTGTCACTTAAGGTCTCTGAGCTCAAATCAAAGGACTGTGGTATTATTTCACATAGGCTGCTGTAGTACAATTACTGGTATTTTGGTAAAAATTCCACAAAATAACATTTTTCCGATCCACAGCATAAATGTATTTCTTAGGTTATTATGCTTAACAGCAGTATCTTCAATTATTCAATCTATCTGAAAAGACAAAAGTGTTTAAATCCAGCTTCTATTAACTGTAAGGAATGTTTTTCTATCACATCAAAGCTGTCATAACAATGTGATAACATGATCCCCACCACATACAGATTATTTAGTATCCCAACAGCCCAACAAAACACCATCGTCAACATCCAACAACATCTGGAGCGCAGTTCTCACTCCTGGCCACCCATTTCAGGTTTGCTTTTGATGAATGCTTCTATGAGATATTTTCCGTCAGGCTCAGATAGGTATGTCTTATCTCCATAATCCCTGTTCAGAAGAAACAATCGTTCAAATGCAGATAGAGCTCAGAGGCAGCTTCGCGAGGCGCACCAGCTTGGCGCGCTTTCTTCCCATGCAGGCTTTCCCTGTTTACAGATTATAGCGCGTTGCCCTCATTTGGACTCTGAAACATTTTTGAAGCTCATGTACAATGTGCTGACCAGCGTCGCCTCGTCATGCATTGAATCCTTACCGTTTCTGTGCCTCTGGCACAGGAATGTCACCAGCCTCTTGGGAAACTGACTGCTGAAAAGAAGGTAAATGCAGGGGTTCACGCAGCTGTTCAGACTGGCCAGCAACATCAGGATAGTGAAAGTCGCAGCTGGAATGACAGGAGAAGTACAAAGCGTCATGTGTTTGCAAAGAAGTGTCATTTACCACCTTTTAATATGTTGTGGTTTTTGTGCGTAAATACGCACATCTCGGATAGCGCATCGAGACCCAAGTAATTACTGCTTCCATATATTTAGAGAGAAAAACAAATTAAATACACCATAAAATAATAAAAATCAAACTGAGCAGCAGCTAGACATACTTAATGGCTTACTTTCTTTCGGAGCATTTGTGTCCCAGGCGGACCAGAGCTGGACAGTGAAGAAGGGAGCCCAGCAGACAATATAACCCAGCACGATAACCACTGTCATCTTCAGCGTCTTCACCCTGGCCTTGGACATGCCGGCCACACCGCTGGCTCTGGATGGCAGTGGGAGACCCACGCTGCCCTGCTGTTGAAGCTTTTGGTACAGGTTCGTCTGGATGGCTCGGCAGATGCGCACTTGACAAACAACAACTGTAATAACAGGTAAAACAAAAATGACCAGCGTGGTCCAGGTTATGTAAGTCTGCAGCCCCCATGGTTGGATAAATATAGCCCAGCAGTCAAAAACACCGGGTGCGACCTCGACCTGTGAGAAAATAAAAACCTGTGGCAAGCTGCCCAGCAGAGAAAACCCCCAGGCGACGCACACGGGGACGTTCAGTCTTGTGCGTCTCCGCTGGAACTTCACCATCGGGTTGCAGACAGCCTGGTATCTGTCAACTGTCATCACCACGATCATGTAAGTCGATGAAAACATGCCGAGAACTTGCAGGTACTTCACCAGGCGGCACACCAGGTCTGGTCCGACGAATCGGTCTGTGATGTCCCATATGAGTTGCGGGCACACCTGGAAGAAAGCGACCACCAGATCCGCCAAGCACAGGTGGAAGACGAAGACGCGCATCCTGGACATTTGTTTGCGTTGTCTCCAGAGGACGAGCAGCAGGGCTGTGTTGAGGATGGCGGCGCTGACGAAGATGACACTGAGCAGCGCGATCTCTACCTTGGCCAGAATCTCGTCTCTCGCCACGTCCTCCGCATCCACAAAGTCACTGTCATTCAGAGGACGCATTGCGTTTGAGTCGTGAAAGAGTTCAGACTTACGGACAAAAGACTGTTGGGGAATAATAGAACAAGTAGACTAGTTAGCCTATATTTAAACTCGTCATTAAAAAATACCCTAAAACTTTTGGTATCATAGGCCTACTGTAGCTATGTCAAGAACCAACACCGTTATATTGAGCCCTTTACACTTTTCATTCTCTCTATTAAATGAGGCCGCACGTCTAAACTATTTTATAGCAAATAGCCTAGGCAATTCCTACCTACCTTTATATATTATTTAAAATAGTGCCGACGGTAAATTGAAGCTCTGCTGTTGTGGCCCGTGTTAAGGTTGGGAATAATCTCCAGAGATGAGGGTGGTCTTTCTCGGGAAGGTCTCTACAGCTGTGCCCCTGTGTTTTATGCCACGATGAAATTGGGTGGAGCTTAGATTCATTCAGTACTGTGATTTCCTGGCAAATTAGTTTTATTATTCTTTACAGGTGGACAAATAAAGCCTGTGAAATATGTGCTCATGGAATTATTATACAGGTGTGAGCTGTAATAGATAGGCTAATCGGCCTACATAGACGTTGAGGTGACTGTTTTTCAGTGGCTTTGTCAAGTTTAGTAAGACTTTCTACCCTTAAATACAACCAGGGTTGCTTGATACAATAGCCTAATAGGACTATTACAGGAATTCTCGAGATTACGAGATAATTATTATAGCCTAAGAAAAATTGTGTGTAATGGCTTTTAATATGCTGAGTAACAGTGTATATATACAAAAAAAAATCCTAAATCCTAAATAATACTAGGCCTACATGCCACTGTGTAAAATACTTAATTACAAGTAGCCTACTGCATCCATGTAAAATGAGCCTTCATTGTGCAGTGAACGAGCACTGTCAGTATCTTATTGTTACACATTTTAGTAGCATATTCGATGAGTATTACTGATGCATAAACGTGTAACTGGCATTTAAAAGCCGTAGCTGGTCGAAGTGGAGATACATTTGAACACATTTTATCCTGTTGGGCAGTTTACATTATATTGTAAATGCTACTGCTGACATCCAACTCTTATAGTGCTACACACTATAACTAGAGCTCCTGTGTTCATTTATTTTAAGATAACGATGTATTTACTTTCTAGTTGTATACAGTCTATGCATGATGAAACCGAACACGGCCAGGCCACGCATCCCATCCCGGATGAAACGCAACGACCGAGACGTCATCATGGCTGTCGACCAATGAAGAGGTTGACGTCCCAGGACTTTCAACCGGAAGAGTGAATGTAAACAAAATAGTTTAGCTTGAGACGAAGCGACCGTTCTCCCTCTGCTATACTGATACAGTTGCTTGTAGTTCGTTTTATAAACGATGTAATCTATTTCGACCGATTAAGTGATTAAGCTTTTATTGATACGACGATCCCCGTGTGTCGACAACAGCCAACATACATGCATGGATATCCTGCCTGCTAGCTGCTAGCTAAACGGCTAATCTAACTGCGCTAACAACTTAGTGCTAATTAGCAACCAGCACCAATGCCTCAAGAGGGAGAGCAGTCTCTTCCCCTGGTTCGCTCCCTGAACAGTTTAATACCCATTAATGCGGTGTTTTGTAACCTAACTCCCCGTGTCGTACGACCACTGTGGATAGATTACCTGGGGAAACCTCAGGCGTACAATGACTTACAGCCTGGGACGGGGCGAAAAATGAACACCTTCGTCGGTAAGGTAGCATTTCCAAAACCATAAGCTAACTTACGTATGCACAAAAAAGGTTTACAACACGTGCTGCAACTTTGTCCCACGTTAGATCTACGTTTCACATAAAGAGAGGCCATCTCAGGACAGCACACTGTTGGTATTTGGCAAAACAAAACCCAGCCAAAATGTAATAGAAGCCTGTTTTGTTATTTCTATAATATTTTTACCGCACTAAGAAGCATCTTAGACAAGAACATTATGAACCACAAAGTTGGTCATCGTCACCGACTGATGGCATTTAGTCTTGATGTGCTGATTTACAATTTAGCCAGACCATGTGTTAGTTCAAAGGGGAATGGTATCACTTTTGGACAGTGTAATACATTCTGTTTGTGTGTGGTTTTCCCAGGACACCCATGGATGTTCAGAGACGCAGAGACTGATGAGCCACTGAGGGTGAACAGCAAAGAACTGTTTCTGCCTAAACCAGCAGAGGGTGGAAATGCTACATTTGCTAATATCACTTTACCAGGTAAGATTAGCCAAATGATCAACATATTAGCCATTTTCACCAAATTTAATTCATTGCTACTCACAGACATACAACCAAGAGTAAATTCCAGCTTAAATCATATTTGTGTGTTTTGAAAGGCTGTCGATCAACTGTTGATTACAGCACTGTGAACAGTTTCCATTCTGATGGTTTAAAGGGACAAATAATTTTAAAAAATAGTACTAGATCTCTTTTCCTAAGGATTCTACCACACTGCGATACAACAAAGGCGAATGGCGCTTGGCTTGTGGTGCTCAAAGCATCACACAATTACATAAAGAAACCTCCTGAAGTCTTTCCCAGTAGCACACAGGTTACACAGGATCATCCACAGATCTTGCTGTTGGTTGGTTGGTTGGTTTTAACTGGGAGTCCCTAAACTGCGATTTTCTAATTTTCTAAAGTTTTGAGTGACAGATGTTTTAAATCGAGGACTACATTATTAATCGTTTGGAGTCATTTTTTTTCATCAGAAATATTTGTAAATACAGCAGTAACACAGGCCTGCATTTTCAATTATCAAATATTATTTTTGACAAACACAAAAAAATAATGTTTCATATAAAATACAGTTCTTCAATTATCTATGTGTATGTGTGGATTGGATTTTTTAAGTACACATAAATATAAAGCAAGTCCAGTAGCAGTGTTGATGGTGCCTGTAACTTGTGTTGTTCAGTCTATGTGCATTGTGTGTGACTGAAACCAAACACAGCTGTTCATTTTGGTTGCAAGCCTGCCATTCGTATGAAAATGCGTGTTACAAAACTATTGGGAAAGTGTTCTCTGCTTAATATTTTCTCAACAGTTGACAAACGCTCGTTTGGTTTATACAGTGTACAGCCTCAAGGATCGCGCTCTTCAGGTTATTAGGTGTCTGGTACGGCCAGAAGACTACAGGAGGTTGGAAATAGCACGGTGTCTCCATGAGGAGCTGGAAGATCAGCCCAGTGTGTTGAAAGATCTGCATCGCATGAATCAGCGAGTAGAACAACATCTCCTGCAGAGGATTCAAGGCCAGGAGGAATGAGGCATGAAAGTGGATGGTTAACACTAACTTAAGGACTGCAGTTTTGTATTCTGCACTACTAGAAAGCAAAGAAACCAGAACTGAAAAAAAATATATATATATTAGATAAAATGTTGTGAGTTTTTTCTTGGGTGAATGAGCAGCAGACTATGCCAGATATCTCACATTTCCTCAGTTATATTCACTCAATGGCTTTAGCAAATGTCTCCCTCAGCAGAAAAAAACTGTATGTTGCTTTTGCCTTTTAGTAAGAGGAGATTTTATATTATGTGAACTTCAATGAAAATAGTTTTTTTTTTCTCTAAAATGTTATTTGAGGATTTCATCTAGAGAAATTAGGTAACTTTAGCCTTTGATGCTTATATGATTCTGTTTTTCTTTACTTTATTTTGCCATATAGCCAGGTTCTGCCAAAGGTAAACTTCCTCAAAAAAATCCAAATCGATCATTAAAGCTGATGATACACAGAGCAACTTTTAGAGCAATCGTGCAAGGCAACGTTGTCGTCAATGGTAATGAGTAAAGATTACTGCCGTAATCCCCTTCCCCCACCACTCCGCCACCCACCCCGCACCGCCGCTATCTGTTCAAAACATAGTCGGACTTGCCACTAACAAGATTGACCAGCAACATTGCTCAAAAAGTTGCCCCGTGTATAATCAACTTAAGACTGAACTTACAAGTATGTTGTTGTCATGGATACAGTGTCCTAAGTATCACAATTTATAAAGGTCACTAAATAAAAAGTATATACCAATGATCACTTTAAATTTCTGAGAGATATATGTTAAATTTTCTTAATGGGAGTGCCTGAGATAAGGTTATATTAACTAATCCAGTTTACTGCACATCTCCCATCAGAAAACATCCGTCATTGTTATTCCAGCTGTTCAGCTCAGCAGTTTAAGGCTGAATTATTCAACAATCATCAGCAAGCGTTTACTTTGGCACTTTCAGTCTGGAGAAAGATGGAGTGGTTATGGGTACATTTTCCAAGTTGTCCTATTCTGGTAAATGTGGACTTCCAAATATACCGACCACCATAAATGGGCAAAGTCTCTTCTAAAAGTTTGTCTTGCATGTGATTTCCTGTAGGGAAAGATCAGGCTGTGAAACACTGACTGAGGAGCGTATGCTTTTGTTTTTGCCTACTTTGTAATTCTTTGCCTATTTTGTCTCACGTAACCCTGTTGGAAATTCATATATTGCTACTGTGTCACAAATATTTCCATTTTTTATATGTGTAGTAAATAATAAAAAAAGATATATTTCTACTGGTTGAATGTTACTATGAAGAGTATTGTTATTTTAATGATTTGCTCAGCCTCTAAAACATGAGGTCACAAAATACAGCTACAGTTTCACATTGAGAAAGTATTCTGTTTATTTTGTAAGGAAAATATAAGTTATATTCTAATTACAAAACATTTTGAGTACAAAGAAAGTACACACCCAACAGTATCTGTTGCGACCACACACAATATACTATTAATTACAACTGTATAGTTGTTTGTGTTTATGGGTGTATTTAATGAATGTGACTGACGCATTATGATTTAGGAATTAATACTCAAGGCTGTCTAAGTAAAAGAAGTGGCATTTCACTCTGATCATCTGAATAATAAAGAATAATAGTATCTTCTTATTTTTTTTCTCCTTTTTGGTGATTTATCTATCATATGTACTTAAAATGTCTGAAACAAAGTAAAATTATTAATAACATATAATTGAGCAGCTTTTAAATTTTTTTTTAAAGCAATGTCATTATTTGTAATTGTGCAAGTGTGGTGAAAAGTTTCATCTGTTATAGATCAAGCTTGACACACGCTCAATAACTTCACATATTTAACACTTGTACAAGCCTGACTGGATAAACTCACAGACAGACACAAGGACGTTCAATCCGATCTGTCAAGTGCTGAAATTATAACCAGCACCATTTTAGCACAGCATGGGTGCTGTTGCCAAAGGCGTTGCTATGCGACAAAGTAACACAACCCATCTTTGTGTGTGTGTGAGCCGGGTGCAGTAATATCAGGAACATGCAGGCAGAGGGAAAGAAAAAAACATGGGACTCGAGTCGCTTCAGACGAGAGAGGTAAGTACTCGGCCGCTGTCGGCAGCTTTCTGTGTCTCACACACGTACAGTATTTGTTCTGAGGCTGGGATCCAGTGCTGCGGCTTTGTAGAACTGAAGGAATAGACAGTAACTAATATTCATGATCCTTCGATTTTCGTCACCAGCATGACATTTTGGCCAAGGAGTCACCCAGTCATGTTTCCACATCTCCGGACAGACCACTGGAGCAAAATGAAAACAACGGTAAGATGAAATGAAACTAACCCCTCTTCCACTAAGACACTGATATATAAACTTATGACACTCTAACACTGATCAATAACAAACATAAATTACTTTGTATTCTTGTGATCCTATGCACAGTTATTCCCACCTAGGTTCCAGTTTATTTTGCATCAGTTCCAGCTGCCTTGTTGAAAGACAGAGGTTTGTGAAAATTACCCTACTTCACATATAATATCAAGTTGGGAGGCAACAAGGAGAACACTTTGTACAGTCGAGAGAGGGTAATGTTCTCTACACATTACAAAGAAAAATGTGTCTCTAATTTGGCTTTATTACACATCCTAGTGGATGAATCCCATAAAGGTGCTCTAAGCCGCAGTACCAGCAGCAGCAGCCCGTTACCTCCTCTGACTCGGGATGAAACTGCAGTTAATGATCCTGTTCCCTCCATGGTGCAAGGATACAGTAGGTCCCACATTAACAGGAGTTTTTTAAACGTTTTTTATTATTTGTTTCCCTGCCGTATATGTATATGTTTTTCTTTAGGCAGGCATCCAAACACACCAAAAACCTCACCTCAAAACATGCCCCAGTACAGCAACGTGTTCCATGACCGTGCCAGGAGGGGCTTCTGCTACTGGCTCATTGAAAAGCAGGCCTCAACATGTAAGTACTGATCTGAGCCCTGACAGCAGCGAAGTGTCACCTATACAGTAGAAATATCAGCTTGGTGTGACATTAACATGCACATGTGGCTGGGAGGAGTGAGATCCATACTCTTAATCTTCTTTATTGCTGATGCCGCTGCCCAGCCACTGTACACTATTTTGAAGGTTACAGATCACAGAAATCCCTCTGCCCTTTCCTACTGACTGATTTTGGTGCATTGTTGTGGACAGCAGGTCATATCCTAATCCTCATTTGTCCTTCACAGACCTTCTAGTCTGCACATATCATTTTGTGTTGGTATATTGTGAATTATCATTCAGCATCATTTCATAAAAGGAATATAAACACTTCTCAATGTCTATCACAAGCAGCGTTTGTAAGAGGGACAATGTTGTGTCTTGTATTTTAGTTACTTTACATTATGATTGGTTTACACAATGGTCAGAAGACTGATGCATCGTCATTCCTTCCTCACAGGTAAAGGATACAGCTTTGGTGCCTACAAGACCTCCCTGGGATTACCAAAAATCTAACAAAAACGGTCACTAAGATTTGTTTTAACCCTGTTTCCAAATTTAAGCCAAAACCACATGATTTCACTGATATGGTATTAAGTATAATTAATCTTATATCACCTTAGAGTGTGTCCACACACTGACTTTCCTTTCAGTGGAAATACTGTTAATGTGAAGTATTAAACTTGGGAATTTAAAAATAAGTAGTGACTGCAATAATGTGGTTAGTATAATGTGTAAAATACATTACCTAACTATGGTATGCTCACTAAAAAAAGAAACTATGAACATTTCAAGGGAAGCTGTTATCTGACGCTCCACTCTGAGCAAGAAGGGGGGAAAAAATATTTTGTCATATGGTACTACAACCACTTTGTATTATATGTTGTTAGTGTGTACATAACTAGTAAGGAAATTAAAATCTGAATATCACTGTTCAGCATTAAATACCAATAGGCTACAATGCTTGTCCCACCTCTGACCCCCTTTAAAAACAGGATTTAAATCATATATTCTCTGCTGCCTTCTAAATGTTTGTCTTGTTTGCCTTTTCTGTAAAAGGAGCAAAGTCTTGGAACTCGCTACCTAAACACTTGAAAATTGCTGCAGACTTCACCACCTTTAAGAGAGATGTCAAGTCCTGGTTGATTCAGCCACAAACTTGAAGGCTACTCTCACAACTAGTGTTCTGTAGTTCCTATTACACATGTTTTTGTCCCTACCAAATAACCATAAATAAATAAATAAAAATATCTGATTTATTTTAAAGTGTATATGTATTCAATGAATGCATGGCATATAAATAAATTTGTCTTGTACTGCTGGGTTTTAAGTCCATTGTTCTGCGCACCGAACATTTGCGGGAATGAATGGCTCAGCAGCTACAGCCTACATCCATACTTTGCTCCAGTGAGTTGACCACCAAGCATTAATGCTGGGTAAATTTCGTCAGCCTCCCAGCAGTTCTTCTTCTTCTTCTTTTTCTTTTTACTGGCGACTTGCAACCAGATGGAGCATTATCGCCACCTACTGTACCCTAATTACATATGCTTAAATCCTCGTGTTCAGTCCAGTTTGTTGTAGAAAAGATGAGATGTGTTTAAACACCATATTTCCGGAGTTTTTTTGAGAAAATAGTTATAATAATAATAATAATCTTTATTTGTAGAGCATTTTTCAAAAACAAGTTACAAAGTGCTTTAACAAGTGTAAAGACAATAATACCCAAGAGACAATAATACAAAAACAAAACAAGATAAAAGCAAGAAAACATTGAAAAGACTAAAATACACATTTAAGATAAATATAAAATTAGTAAAATACAATAAAATAAAAGGGATAAAATAAAGTCAAATAAGATCGGGAAAGGCTCTCCTATAAAAGTATGTTTTAAGAAGGGACTTAAGAGAGTTCACTGACTCAGCCGACCTGATTTCCTCGGGCAGGCTGTTCCAGAGCCTCGGGCCCTGACAGTAAACGCTCTGTCGCCTTTAGTTTTCAGTCGAGACTCTGGAACAGACAGCAGACCTCTGCCCGAGGATCTCAAGGTACGTGCTGGTGTGTATGGGACTAAAAGTTCAGAAATATAACAAGACGAGAGGCCTTGTTGTTTTGCCATCTGCTGGGACCCAATGACCAGGATTTCTGTTTTGTCTTAGTTCAGTTGGAGGAAATTATTTGACATCCATTTTTTAACTTCACAAAGGCAGTTGTTAAGTGAACATTCCAGGGTCTGTGGATTTGACGGGCAAGTATATTTGTGTGTCATCAGCATAAATATGAAAAGAAATGCCATGTTTATGGATAATATGTCCAAGTGGAAGCAGATACAAGGAAAACAAAATGGGTCCTAAGACCGACCCCTGAGGCACACCATATTTAACTGGACAGAACGAAGAGACATAGTTGTTTACAGACACGCAAAACTTCCTATTTGACAGTTAGGATGAAAACCATTCTAGGGCAGTACCAGGAGTTCCAGGACTGAGCACATGCCTTCATCAGCAGACATTAAAACGTCATTGGGGACTTTAAGCAGGGCAGTCTCAGTGCTGTGGTACTTCCTGAAACCAGATTGAAACTTTTTAAATATTTTGTTATTTTCCAGTACAGTGAGCAGCTGTTTGGACACAATTCTTTCTAGAATCTTTGCAATAAAAGGCAGTTTTGAAATTGGTCTAAAATTATGTGGGAGGGAGGGATCTAAACCAGGTTTCTTTAAAAGTGGGTTCACGCAAGCCGTTTTAAAATAATCAGGGACACAACCAGTAGATAGGGAGCTTTTGAAAATAGAGATCAAATGGGGCCCAACAGAATCCATTACTTTCAGTAAAAACTTTGTAGGTATTACATCAAGTGGGCTGGAGGACACTCTCATTTGTGATACTGTTTTTAAAAGCTCAGACAAGTCGATGGGATAAAACTGGTTAAAACTCTCTTGTTGCTGGTGAGGAACCTCTGAGTAAGAGGCCGCGGGGGTAATAGAGGCTCTGATTGACACCACCTTATTGGTAAAATCAGATAAAAACAATTCACAGTCATCATTACTTCCAGCTGAGGCACAAGGAGGGGTTGGGTTTACCAGCTGATCTACAGTCTTAAACAGAAACCTGGGATTGTGTTTAGTTGTAATGTCCAGTTGTTTAATTCCTTCATGTTGCAGTCCATTCCTTAAAGACAGTCTTTGATTTGAGTATATAGTGCACACAAACAGCACATGTTCCACAGTTTCCAGTTGACTGCATGTCTCATAATTTCCAGATGGATGTTTTCCAATAAGGTGCAGAGATGCATTTAACTTTGTGTGACCTAGTCTAATTCTGCTAAATTGACTCTGTTCTCTCCTGCTCTTCCCCAATGACTTTTCCTCCCCCACTTTCTGCTGTATCTTGTATAAATGTCTTCCTTTATCCCATAAACTCTGCCACTGTATCTTAATTGTGTTCCGTACATATGATTTGATCTACTTTGTCCTCCCAGCAGATGCACCACCACCTCATTAGCCAAATCTCGTTGTTGGAGTTGATCTCGCGATATAAGACTAATGTGGTCGCTTAGTTGCGTTCAAACGGTCGAAAGCAGAACTTTACCACCATCTAGCGGTTAATTTAAACAAACTTTTTAAATAAATCCAATATTAAACATGCCTATGAAATCTTTGCATGTTTCGTGTTTGTTCGGACACGCTGTTAGCAGCAGCTGGGTGACTGAAGCAGCGCGGATAAAGTGACACCAGCAGCCTCCTCTACGGCGCGGAGAGAAGGTACGTTAACTTCACAACACATTAGCTAGCCAGATAAATACATTTAGCAGTAGTAAAAATAGCTAAATCATGTCTGTAATAAATAAGTGTGAAGTCATGAAAAATAACAGTAAAACATAACTACTTTTTTGGGTTGCAGTTTGAATCAACAAGTGAAAATAAGTCATCTTAGCTCTTACAAGTTAGCGTTAATTGGCTAAAGTGACGGCGCTAGCTAACAGACTAATTAATAACAAAACCTCGTCAATGGCAGTCCAGCTTCTTTTCTACCGACTAATTGACAGCAGCACAAAGTTAAATTACCAAAACGCTGTTGTAGATGGTGGTACCACACCACGGCACCATGGTTAACTGTGGCTTTACTTTTAATGTCTGCAAACATTTCCGCAACTGAATTAATGAACATATCTTATTGTGTGTTGCACCATGATGTTTCATTTTTCTGTAATTTCAAAAGTGTGCCATTTTGAACTTGAAGAATAAAGTATACGTTAAGTCTGGCCCGTTAATTGAACTACTGATATCTTTTTTTATGGCTAGAGGTAGTGGAGGTAAGTCAACCATGGCCAGATTAACTTGCTTGGGGCAAAAAGGAGCCACTGGACTTTTAAAAAATTTATTTTTATACATAATTTTAAATTTGCATCCCCAATCTTACTTTGGCAACAGCAACTCTTCTTGGGGTCTATTATCCTTGGGGTACTACCTGGTCCCAGGTTTGCTGTATGGTAGTTTTACATATGCAACTTGTAAGAAACCTATGTGAAAAACTAGATTTTGATGTTGTGCTTTAGTAAGATGCTTTTTCCCATATGCTCATACAGCATTGCAACTCATTAAATAACAACAAACCAAACTGGTAAATGGGGCCCCTGCAGCAGTCACCTTTATTACCCAGTTGGTAGCTCAGCCTTGGAGCTGAATGATTTGAGTACTTAAAATAATAACTTTATTTTAATAGCACATTTCTTAACATGGTTACAAAGTGCTTTAACAAAGGACACAAGACGGTAATTGACGTCACGGTGCGTTGAATAACATTTGTGGATAACGCTACCTTCTTTTTACGCAATAACCTGTATAATCATAAATCCATTAATTTTTACTTGACATATCCAAACTATTAAATGAACAGCTGAATGTTTTTGAAAGTTTTGCATTATGCTTGGTTTAATAATTGGGCCAAAAAGAGGAGTGCCATCTCACCTTAGCGAATGTGACTGTGCTCTCGCAGTTTGCTGGCTTGTGATGAGCAGGTCTTGCACCCAGCCACTGCAAAACTGTTCATGAGCTTCTAGTGATTTCTAACTTTTAAAAGTGTACGCACTCAGTCCAAAAACAAGGTAATTGACAATGTCCAGGCTTTGGAGTGGAGGTAGTGCGTCTGGGTCTGTAAACCATATGTATGGTTTTTTGTTTGTCCAAATACCATTCCTTGGCAGAGACATTCAATTTCTCCTGGTAGGGTACCTTTTGTTTTTCTTTTCCCTTCTCGTTAAGATTTTACCGATTTTAAACAATTTTGTGGCCAAACTAAACAAAAGGTAATCGGGTAACCACCATAGCAACTGGAAGGCTCACAGGTAAACAGAACTTGTACCTCACAAGATTGAGCCCCTGTCCCAACATGTAAAAAAGGTATGACGTACTTTCAGATTCCCTGTAGGAGATGTAAATAATCCAAGTCAGTTTTAGTTTTTAGCTGATGTTTAATATAAAATGGCTGCAAATTTAGATTTAGACAGGCTTAGCCTATAGGAAAGTATTCGATGATTGTGGCCATTGTTTGTCTTCATCAACTAACTATATTGATCATAAGATGGGCATTTCCTCTTCTTGTAGTACAAATGACTTTTTATTTTATTTATTTTTAATCCGTGATGCTTTAATGTTTTTTACCCTGTTGCTCACACGATGTACTACATGATCATACACATCTGTTCATTCCTTTTCTAACTATATATTGAATTAGGATCTCAGACATGGACAGCAGCAGAAAGAAGTTGAAGTTTAAGTGGCTACGGACTGCAATCACCTCACCTGCACGTCCTCAGGGGGGAAATGCTGGCACACCCTCTCGTTGGAATATGTCACCGAATGAAGATTCAAACGCTTTGCTCCTCAGTGACTCTCCAGGACCTGTCTGCCTTGGAGCACTGAGTCTGGACACTCCCAAGAGAAAAGCAGAGGTGCTCTGTGAAAGAATGCCATCTGTAGGCAAAGTTAAGCTGAGGAAGCTTTCCAGGAAAAACTTTTTCACAACTTCAAAGGTAAATATTACTGCACCCATCTTTTAATGGCACATCTGAATTGTTTTTATCAAAAGTAGTGCTACCTCATGCATTATATTAAGTTATTTTAAAGGAATTACTTACTTAATTATTTTTTCCTTTTGCACTGTAATTATCAGGAAAAACCTATGGACAACTCTTTCAAGGAGCTGGAATCCACAGAGAGCCAGCAAGTATCACCACCCCCGTCTCACTCGTTCGTCTCAAAAAAGAAAACGAGGACATCCGAGGAGGCATCAAAGGCTATCTACAGGATGGCATTGACTGCAGCTATTGACAGCACAAAGACAAGGTGCAGCCCTTCAAATATCCCCTGGACTGACGCTAACAGCCCACCTTTGCCATTTGTGTCTTCACCAGTGAAGACTGAAGTGTCCAGTCCAACGTCACTTGACAGAGCGGTTGTGAATATTTACTGTTCCCCGATCAAACCTGAGAATAAATCTGAGGACACCGACACACTCACAGAAGATCAGTGGTCCCCCATTCAGGTGTTTGAGGACACAGAAGCCCAACGCAACAGCTCCAAGCCCAAAACAGATGAACGGGTAAGTCAAGTGACACACAGCAATCTACCACAAATTTATATATAATTTAAAATGTTTTAGTCGCATATAATCTGTAAATTTTGGGGCTGTTACTGATTTTATTTATTTTTTTGTTCATTTAGCTAATGTTTTAAATTTCTTGAAAATCAAATCTTAATATTTAGACAGAAGCCAGGAAATAGACATCCTTGACAATATTGTGACCGCAGAATAATCATCATTGCCATTAAAATTCAAAGCAAAAGCGGTGTTTTTTGGAATTCATTTTAATAAATTTTTTTTGTTTCTCAGAGTGTTGTGTTAAAAGGAGAAGATTCACCCAGGAGGTTTGTTGCTCTGGACTCAACTTCTCAAGAGAAGTTATTTGAAACAGAAAATGAATCAGAAGATGACAACTGTGACTCGCCCCTCCCTGCTCTGGAGTATATCCCAGATTCCGTGACTTGTTTCACGACTCATCGAAAAGGCTCTTCTGACAGCCAACAGTGGCAAAGTCCTTCAGTGAATACCCAGAGAGCTACAGCTTCCTCTTTCACCCTTTCATCCACTAATGAAATGACTGGGGCAGTCCAGGCAGCGGCCGAGGACGTACAGATGCCTTTCTCGCTGTCACAGAGGACGGTTTTTGTCTCATTCAAGCAGCACAACCCACCAAACACGGGCCCTTCAAAGGAATCCAGAGCTGAGACCTTAAATTTGCACTCCTCCAACATTATGGCACATTTATTGGATCCCTTTGCTCTTCCGCTACACTCAAATAGAGGAGAAATTAACCCTTACTTGAACTCCACCCGCAGGCGGTCAGATGCTGGATCTTCCGTGGGTAACCCCCCCTACTCCTTTACACGTGGTGGTGCTCCTAAAAGATTATCCTTGGGGGCAGAACCTATTTGGACCAGTTACCCTTATCTGGACAATCCAGTTGGTTTCATAGACACACACTGCCATCTAGACATGCTCTATGGAAAACTTGGCTACTGTCAGACATTCAGCAGTTTCCGTAGGCTGTACCAAAGCAGCTTTCCTCCAGAGTTTAGAGGCTGTATTGCTGACTTCTGCAACCCAGGTATCATGATGAAGGAGGCCCTGTGGGAAGGTTTGCTGGCTGAAGACATGGTATGGGGGGCATTTGGGTGCCACCCACACTTTGCCAAAGACTACTCAAGTGTCCATGAACGCAATATACTGATGGCCATGCGGCATCCGAAAGCTGTGGCATTTGGTGAGATGGGCCTGGACTACTCCCACAAAAACTCCACTGACACCTCCAGGCAAAAAGAGGTACGGTCTGGTCTGATGTGGTTTAAGGTGGTCAAAAATAGACTGTGTACAAGGATAATGTTGTAACGTAAAAATGAATGCTGTGGGCCGTGTTTTGTGTCTGTGCTTCTCTGCGAAGGTGTTTGAGCGCCAGCTGCGTTTAGCCGTGGCCATGCAAAAGCCTCTGGTGATCCACTGTAGGGATGCAGATGATGACCTGCTGCCAATCATGAAGAAGTGTGTCCCTAGGGAATACAAAATTCACAGGTGTGTGTGTGTGTGAAATCATCTGACTGATTTTACATCATTTTTATTATTAACATGAAAAATATGTAAAAAGTTAGCAACTCTGTTCTGGTTGTAAGTTTATAATCCATAAATTATTCATGAAATCAAACCCCAATTTATATGCTATGTTTGAATGTAGGTATTTGTTACCGTTGTTAGCGCTGATGGCAGTCATTCATAAATTTATCCTTGTGGTCATTTGTGTTAGCAGATTAGTTTATTTGTACTTGAATCTTGAGGATTATTATTATTATTATTATTATTATTATTATTATTATTATTAAAGACCATCAAAGTGTAAACTGGCATGCTTTTTATCTGTGAATTTTCTTTCTTAATTACTTGTGTGTTTTCCAGGCACTGTTTCACAAACAGTTATCCAGTGATTGAGCCGTTCCTGACGGAGTTCCCCAATCTGTATGTGGGCTTCACAGCCCTGATCACCTACCCCAGGGCCACCGAGGCCCGAGATGCTGTCCGCCAGATCCCTCTCAACCGCATTGTGTTGGAGACAGACGCTCCATATTTCCTGCCCAGACAGGTTCGTTTAAATTAAAACTGTACATTTTTTGGTTAGACCCATTTTGGCCTTGTTGGGGGGTGGCATTGCAACTAATGCTTGGGCCACACTGCCTACCTCTATCTGTGCGTGACGGCTACCTGTTAACATGGGCGCCACTTTAGTTTTTTATATTTTTATTTTTTAAGATTTTAAATGGGTCGGCACCTTCTTATTTATCAGAACTTTTACATGTTCACACTCCTGTCAAAGCACTGAAGTCATCCAATCAGTTGCTCCTTCCAGTTAAGGTGACAGAGCCTATTCAGTGGCTGCTCCTGATCTTTGGAATATTTTATCTGTTCAAATAAGAACTGCTCGGACTGCTGAAATTTTCTAGTCCTTGCCCAGCTAAAAGAGTTCAGTTTTGACATTTTGGACCTTTTCTACTCTCTTTTGTGATGTATATTTGTTGTGTATCCTGAATTTGGAAAGCACTTTTGTCAACTAGGATTTTAAATGTGCTATGTAAATAAATTTGAACTTGTACACACACTGCTCAGGTAGGCCCAAATGTAGGACTTGTGTATTAGTCCTGGTTTTAGCTGTCTGAAGAATGTTCACAATGCCAATAATGGACAAAGAAACTAAAATTGATAATTGGTACAAAATATCAATTATTGTCCACTTTGGTCTAAAACTATTGATAGTGATTTTCAAAAACCTATATTCGTCAAACCTTTGCACAAAACCCTTTTTTGTTAGATTTGAGGTGCGCATTCAAATATAACAGCACTGGTACTATGGCAAGCTTAACATTTATTCCTTAAAACTTAGTAGTCTCTATTTAAAAGCTACTAGTACTTATTTATTAGTAACTAATAACTATTCCCATTTTACTAATAACAATTGATTAGATACTTGTACTTCATTAATAGTTATTAGTAACTATTTCATTAGTTACTAGGAATTTTTTACTTAGAAATCTATGGGGCTCTGCAGTTCAGATATCATGTATTCATTTCCATTTTACTAGTATCTATTATTTAGATACATGTATTCATTAGTCACTACTAACTATTCTAAAAGATACTAGAAACATTTTCATTCGTCCTAGAAAATGTTTTTTAAATGGCTTGTTGATACTAACATTTTAATTCTTACTAGTAAGAGTGGAATAGTTACTACTAACTATAAAATAAGTACTAGTAGCTTTTAAATAGCAACTAGTTTTAAGGAGTAAATGTTAAAATGACTTGCCATACTGGTGCACTTACACAAACAGGGAGTACATTTTGACTACACACATACGATAAGTGTGTCTCACTTTCAACAGGTGAGAAAAGATGTCTGCCGGTTTTCACATCCTGGAATGGGCATCCATACTCTGCAGGAGCTGAGCCTTCTGAAGGGGGAAGACATGACCACGGTGCTCGCCACCATCCGAAACAACACCTCTCAGCTCTACAGCATATGATCTTCAGAAATGATGGATTAAAAAGAGAAAAACTAGCAAGACAGAATCAGCATTTTTGGAGCTGGGTGAACATTTTATGTATCTTTTTGTTTTAGATTTATTACTCTTCTACGTAGAGATGTCAGAAAGAAGGAGGAGCAGTCTCATTTTAAACAGCCAGAAAGACTTGATGTTAATAAAATTCACACAAATAAGTCACTCAGAGGAAAAGAAAAAAAAACAAACAAAGCAGTGACTTTTGTCTGATAGAAACTGTATATCATTGTTGAGCTGATTATATTTTATCATCGTTCATCATTAATTCCTAAGCATTTTTGTTTATATGTTGTGTTGTTTTTGCTGTGTTGCCATAATTTGAGATCTCTTGCCTTGTTCTAATTTGTCTAAATGTTTTTGTTGTCCAACCACTGTGGTGTTTTGTTTGGTTTTTACAGTGGAGACGTATTAAAAAAGAATCCTGCCTATGTTGTTGTACTAGTATGGTTTGTTGAATTACCTGATAATTCATGTAATTGCACATGAAGCAAAAAAGAATATCGCCTGTAATACAACATGTTTGCGATGAGCAAAGCTGATTCCTTATTGAAGAAAGGAAGTGGTCATGAGACTAGTCCATTAGCTTGCCTTGAGACCACCGTGTCCGCCACACACATTTGGCTTGAGTGCTTTTTATCTTGAGAATGATTTAGCTTGCCCTACTTGTGGCATTTTCTGGTGGTTGGAGTATGCCACTCAAGGATAAGATTAATAGTAGATGGGTGGATAAGTCTCTTGACGAGATGGAGAGGGATAAAATGCATACTTTCCTGACTTGTCCAGGTTCTAATGAAAGCCTTGTTTCAAAGAACGTGGGCCAGAGCACACTATGTTCATCGTTGTGTGTCTGTGCTTATTAAAAGCTACAAGCTGGAACAGGACATACGCAACCATCAAAAAGGATGTGTTTTTTTACTGTGTGTGACCTAATTCTTGAGATTTGAACAGGAAGTGTTGCAACCTTTTTCTGGGATTTGTTCATTGGATGTTTGCACCACGAATAAAACAACATGGCCTGTGATGGTTGTTATTGTGGACAGTTTTTATTTTAAGGTGCAGTTAATTTAGGATTAGAGGGGATGGTCCTTACTATTAATGTTTTTTCAAATGCAAGTGCAATACAGAGGTTTATCACAAAAATAAAGCCTAGAAACCATTCTCACTTGTTTCACCTAATTAAAGATTTAATGCATGTCAAAGATTAGACAAGGTTAATTGATGCTTTTAGTTTTATAGGCATGTGTGGGTCTCTGAAAACAAAAATAGGGTCTTGTTGGACAGTACATACTGTACTGTTATATATGGGGTGATTTATGCTGAATAATAGTAGATCATTACACAGGTATGAATATGAGCGACATAGAGGGTTTTAAAAATAGATTTAAAAAACAACACTACCTAATGAATATCTATGAGACGTTTCACTCCACACTGATATTTACCTTGAGAAAAGTGGTTTGGATTTAAATCATTCATCTCCTAGATTATATTAAATTTACCGTCTTTATTTACAGCAGTTAAGCTCCATAATAAGGTCATGTGATGACAGGTGAACCAACTGAATTACAACTGAATTACAGATGAATACCCTTTTATGTGGCTGAAAGCTCCAAAAAGATTTTGAGCAAAGAGTATTTTGCTAAATTTCACACCTGCTGAACAGTTTCATGTTTTAGGTTGTAATGACTTGGACACAGTCAATTCTCTAACTTTTAGTGGTACAGTCTGAAACTTAATTAGCCACAGTCTGGGTAACAGTGTTTTAACAGCCCTACGCTACAACAATGCATCAAGCTTTGAAAGAAATGACACCAGCATGTCTGCAGGCTAATTGCTTTCAGCATTTTAATGATCACTATCTAATGAAGTTGAAATTAGAAGACATTGGGACAGAAAATTTGAAAATCTTGTCCATGATCTTCAAGGTTGTGCTGGTCTTTCTGAAACAAGACAACACATTATGTTAAAATTTACATAAAAGTAATTGCAGGTTTATTTTACAACAGTATACAGTACAACCTGCTGTCTCTGTGTTTCCCAGCAGACGCTGAATGATCTCCTGCAGCAGGACACCGTACTCCTCAAAGTCCTCTCCACTCATAGTGATGCCAATTTCAAACGGGGCACTTATCTACTCAGAGAAGAGGAAGACAATAAATGGGATAAAGGGATGCTTTTTTAGGTGCTGTGCTGTAGCCACGAGTGTTATTTCCACTCACTGTGATGTGATTGTCCTCAGTGGGTTGATTAGGCTCCTCCATGACTTGGCGGCCGGCTCTGGACGGCTTCCCCCTGCTCTGTGGTGGACCCAGAAAAAATCTCATGAATATAACCAATTCAGCGGCCATTCAGATGACACAGAGGATCCAATTATCAAATATCCAAAAGAGTGTGAAGTGTGGGAAAAGTCAATAGACTGTCTTCAACATAACTAACATCTTAAATTGAACATGGGGCTTGTTTGTCTGCTAAGGATGAAGACAAAGACCCAGGATTAAGTGTAAAATATTGATACAGGGTTTTGGTATTGCATATGACAGCATTACAAAAGGTTTTTCAAGACTATTAGTCACACAACAAAATGAACTCACAGCCAGGTCATTGTTGAGGAGGAGTTATATTAAGTTGAAAGTGACTTCATAGTCAGAGCAGTAGCATCTAGAGGAAACTGAGTTTTCAATTTGTGCATTTTAAGAAAGAGCTGAAGAATTGGTTCAAATCTTTATATACAGTCTATGGTTAAAATGCGTTAAATGACTACCATATAGGAATCACCTTACCTGAGGTTTTTGAGAAGGGCTGAGAAAGCTTGAACCGGCATTGGTTGACTTGCACCACAAGGTCAGAGAACAAAACAGAAAGACCAGCAAACAGGTGTTTCTTTTCAGAAACATGGTGGAATAAAAATCTAAAAGTGCTTGCTCTACTGCAGTCAATATCAAGAAACAAACTGCCTTAGTAAAGGTTAAAAATATTGATCTGCTAATCTGAATCTGATGCTGACTCCCACCTTAGTTATCTTTCCCCTGAAATGGAGGACTTTGTTAGAGATCCTCTGGCTTCATTATATACCTTTCATCCTCTTTCATTTTGGTTTAAAATTGCATTAAAGATAATAGTAACAAATGCTTGTGCTTTCGTGTCTTGGTTTCATTGTACTGTTCAAATGTTTAAATTGATAACGAAATAGGCATTTCTCTGTTGTAACCTGACAGCAGGCCTGCTGATCATCTTATCTATGCAGGGGGGTGATGGAGGAACCATATCGATGTCATAGAGATAAATGGGACTGATTGAGCCTATTATGTACGACTATATCAACATATCAATATTGACCTATTATTCCCAGGACACATGCAATAGACATAAAAATAATTACAAATAGTGAATAAAACTGAGGAATTTGACCATCTGTGATACAAAATAATTATTTGATAAGATTGTATTGTTTCAGCAGGGCATTCTGACTGACCCAGTCTTCCTTATACAATTATTATCATTATCATTATCATTATCATATTATTATTATTATTATTAGTAGTAGTAGTAGTAGTAATAGTAGTAGTATAGCATGAATTGCCTTTTGAGATGTCTTTCTGTGGAACATATCCACATGTGACTTGGATATACGTTATGTTTATTCAAGGGTTTTCTTTAAGTACTGTCACATGATAGTATGGCAAATAAAAGCCCTCCTTTGTAAATCATTGTTCTGAATTTGTGATGTAATGATCTAATATTTAAAACCTCTTACAATCCTTTAGTACAAAATGCTCAAGCTTCATTCATACTATATGAGTGCAGGTCAGTTGTTATGGAAGTGTCCACATTTGGTTAGTCTTTTTTGTATCTTGCTTGGTTTGTGTTGCAGTTTTCTCCTAGAATGAAGATGTTGACAGGTACATTGCACAACCTTTTAACCTTTTAACTACCACATAATCCTTTTCTATGTTGTAGGCAATCCTCAGTTGAGTTAATAGTTACTTTCAAGACAAATTTGCTTATGAGACAGAAATTACCCAAGTCATGAAAACTTGATAGAAAAGTGAGGATTGAAGAGAAGTTGGTTTGCATTAATATATATTCAGACTTCAACTTAAATGCAGTATTTGCAATTTCAGCATCATTGACAGCACAACATATAAAAAATCCAATCAATTCCCTTAATTAAAAACTGAAACAATTACATTAAAAAAGCAAAATGTTTGTTGACCTTTAAAGGAATACAAAATAATTGTGTGCACAAACACACAACATGATGTGAATTACCTAATTTTATGAAACATTTGTGTACATAAACCTATTTAATTATAGCTGACACCATAACCTTTCATTTGCCGTTTGTTAGAATATTAAACCACAATGAAAAGTGTACCAACAACCCCACCCTTATGAAAATGAACCATAGTATTACTATTGTATACTATAAAAATTTTATATAGTAGCCTAAGTTTGTAGTGTTCTATAGTATCACCAGCTATTACTATAGTTTTTCTGTAGTGCTATTTTATTAGCTAGTAGCCATAATATTTCATTAGTAATACTATGTATCTACTGTAGATCTTTGTAGTATTCCTATATATAACTATAGTGTAGTAGTGTTTCTGTAGTTGTTTTTTGAACACACTATAGAACATTCCTACAGTAATACTATGATGACGTTATAGTAAATTTATAGTATTATAGTATATTGTACAATAGTAACTTTCTATAGAGCGTCCAAAAAATATATAAAAAACAATATAATAATATACAAAATAGTATAACTTCAGTATTGTTTTGAAAAAACATACTAATACTACAGGAAACACTATAGTGGTACTATGTCGCTATTTGCAGCACACTTCTTCCCACGTCCCTTCTCTCTGTACATTGAGTGAATTAAGTAACAGTTAAGTGTAGTTTATTTTTTTATTTTATTATCTGAAAGGCACGAATAGAGCTGAGCAGATTGAGAGAGTTTGAGATATTTTGCATCAAAAACCGCCACTAGTGGGCGGTAAGCCGACATTTTTCCAACGAAAGAGAACCACCGACGAAGACGTCGGTACAGCTAGCACATAACATTGGTTTGAATATTATGGCGTAGAAAACAATTAGTAAACATGGATAAAAAGAAGAAACCCTTCAATGTGACTGCTTCATCGGTGAGTTGAGTTAAGAAGCAGCTTTACATTTTTTTTATTGATAACCTGCGCGGCTGTGTGACGTTTAATGAAAGGATAATAGCAGCTATCGTTAGCTTAATGTTACCTTGTAGTCATGCTAAATTGCTGGCAGATACAGTTAACTGTTGTTTTACTTAGCCGCTATACATTAGCAGCTTTAAACATTTACAGTTTGTTCAGTACTTATTTTGCCGGTTTTTTCTTACAGCTAGTGGACCTTAAAGCTGAACTGTACAGAAAGCAGGAACAATTCAAACAGGAAAAACTTGGGCAAGAAAGTGCTGGTGCTGGATTCACGTCAAAATCCAAAGTCAAGGTAGAGTATGTGTTATTTTGGGACTTATTTTCACCTGCTTGTATGATTACAGATTGACATCACTAACCAGGATGTCATTTATTCACGCGCCTGTGTAGAAACCTAATGTTTGGAGCAAACAAAATACTGGTGTTTCAGCAAGAGCTGAGAAAGATGCAGAGCAGCTGGCTGAGGAGCAGAGCAGCATTGATACATCAAGGTGAGTTCAAGGCAGCATACAGGAAATTTATTGTCACAATACAATGTGACCAAAACCTATAACTCCTCATTTATCCTCTTTTAACAGACGCAAGTTGGAGGAGAAGGCCAAACTCTATGAGCAAATGACAAAAGGAGACTTTCCAGGTTGGTGTACAATTATAAATGATATTTGATATGTAAATTATATTTTCCTGATATTGAGTTGTATGTTAAATGGATTTACTTTGTAATCAACTTGACGTCAGATGAAGAGACAGAGGGGCTGTACCTGGTTGACTTCACCCAGAAGATTATCGACAAAAAGAGAGGAACGCTTGCACAAATGGAAAAAGACGATAAGGACAGAGACAGCTCGTCTTCTAACCTTCCTCCTCAAAATCCAGATGAGGAATGGTAACGTCTGATTCATTCATTTTCAAGGGTTTGGAAATGGTAGTTTGGTTTGTTGGTTGTATATGTATGTAAAGTATATACGTTAAATATATAGCTAATAAAAAAAACACTGACGACTCCCAGTGATCTATTTTTAACTAATACCACCACCACTGCTAAAAAATTATAGTTATAATAATGACAGTACAATTAATAAATGTGAAAATGTATCCTTTACATAGTTCTAATAATGCCTGAGGTTTTAAACAATTACAAAACTTGCTGGTTCTCCTACTGCACTGTTTCTCTGTAGGGTGGATTATGTGGACGCTTTGGGCCGATCTCGGAGATGCATGAAGAAAGACCTGCCAGATTTTAAGAAAATGGACCAAGAGCTTAAAGGAAAGGGGTAAATATTCAACAAATAAGAACTCATTGCATGTGATGGTTTCTTGGTGTCATGCTGAGAACTACAACTCTGTTGGATATGACTTCTCCTGTAGAAGAGCCTCAGCTGACAAGACCTTACTCTCAGAGGACATGCGTCGAGAGCTTCAGAGGCAGGAGTGGGAGAAGGAGGAAGAGGAGGCTATGAAGAGGCCCGTTGGACCTCTCCACTACGAGGACATCAGGGGACAAGGTTATTGTTACTGTAAAACATTTCTGCACACATTTGAAATGAAAGGATTTGGTTTTTAAATCTTGTTCTCTAGAAAGCATTTGGTCTGTTTGTTCGTCTCAGAGGCTCGGGAGCTCGGCGTGGGTTACTTTGCATTCTCTCAGGATGAAGAACAGCGCAGAAAGCAGAGAGAAACTCTGGACATGCTCAGAGACCAGGTGAGCTGCTGATCCATTAATGGACAGATATAAACACAGAAATACTTATTATATTTATAAGTGTGTGCATTTCAAAATATTGATTCCCTTTATAACCAGTAGCCCCACACAACAAACATACTCTCACATGTTTCTACATTAAACATACAACCACACTGCGCTGGACTGATGGACATATGTTGTTCATATGCGTCTTTGTTAAGTCTTGAGTGTCACTGAGTACATCACCACTGTTCACAGCTTTGGCAATGCTGCTACACACTTAAAGTCCTTGTGCACCTGTGATATTTGATGAATAAAAGCCAGTTTGGATGATGATGATGATTAATGTCCTTTTTTAGTTTTTGCTCAGACTATGTTTCTCTTTACATCTGTCCTGTCCTTCAGACAACAGAGCAGCGCACTAAGAGGGAACAACTGAAGGAGAAGAGGCAGGCCATCCTGCAGGCCCGACTGGCCAAGTTGAGGCAGAGGAAGATGAAGAAGGCCAAGTTGGATGGGACTGAGGACGAGCAGAAAGAGGAGGAGCCTGAAGGTTAGAATCCACACCCACCTCGTATCAAATGCAGCTATGAGCTGTTGCTCTGTTTGATATTATATAAGTGGAGCTGCTTGTGTAAAAAGCCTGTTTGCAGCTCAACAATCACATGAATTTCAATGAGGGGATTGTTGTGAATTGTTTTTCCTAGGAGAGGAGGGGGAAGTTGAATTAATAGGACCCTCGCCTCCGCCAGAGGACTCCCCAGAGGTCAGCACAGTGAAGAAAGTGGAAGTGGAGATCCAAGAAAGGAAGGACACCAAACCAGGAGTTCCTCATGTCAGAGAATGGGACAGAGGCAAAGGTAAGCCTTGTTATTCTCTACTATAGGCTGTAGTACTGTTTAGGTGTCATGCATAATTTCTGCAATACATGTGTGTGCCGCCTCTTCACTCTCTTTGGCAGGTCACCATGTTATAGGTTATACAGTTGTAGCTATAGATCTTCATCTCTCACTGCCCTTTTTTGTGGTATTTTACTGTGGAGCTATGTTTGAATATCTAAAATGAAATGTTTCATGGATGAAACAAGAATTTAAACTGAAGTATGTATACCACAGATAATTTTCCATGTTCCTATGGCAAGACTGGAGTTACTCCTTCTGTACTTTGTCAAATAATCAACTTCTTTAATACCACTTTTTTACTTTTCACTTCCAGAGTTTATGTTTAA